GGGCGGACGGGGACCCACAGCGGTCGGTGCTCCCGAGGGTGGCCGGCGGGCAGCCGGCTTGGCGGGGTGGGACGGGGCGGGGCGGGCGTCTTTGGTTCGACGTCACAGGCTGTCGGCGACTCGGCGCGAGGGGTGCTTGATGCTGTGTGGGCGGGAGCCGGGGCTGAGATGTCTGACACGGATGTGCTCTGAGGGGATATACTGTCCCGGTTGCGCCAAGGTGGCAAGCGCTGCTCTGAAGACTCATAAAACGGGCCCCTGCCGAAAGAAAGCACCAACGCAAATGAGCCGCCTGCGGACCTGATTTAAGTTGGGGTCTTTCGGTTTGCAAAGGTGCAAACGATGAGTTGCACAGGTAGACATCTTCCAATCGGAAGAACTGCTCAATGCCTCACCCAGCAACGACGAGAACAGCAGCAACGACAGCAAGGGCGACAACGACAGGAACAACGCACCGAACTGGTAGGCGACCAGTTCAACTAAGTATTGACTGACACCTTTGCAAACAGTGGCACACTCAAGATGCTGGAATAGCCCAGACATGGACCGTACGTATGACTTGAGTTCATTCGGGTGAGCTGCACGTGAGCGAAGGACACCAGCAACATCAATTGAGCCGCGGTGGCGGCATCGACAGCTCTTAGAAGGTCCCCCTGCTCGCTAACAGAAGCCACATTACCTTGCAACAACAGGCAAGGAGGGATTCGCCAACCAAAGCAGTCAAGAGGGCCTTTTGCTCACCTTCACGCCACTAGAAAATTGTGAGAGGCGACTTACACTTACACCAGCAAATTGTACATCGCAGCCTGCCTGCTTGCCGCCGCCGCCTCCATCACTGTCGTCGTCCTGGCGCGGCTGCCGGCTCAAACGGCCCGCCCAATTAACTGCATGTAGAAGGTCGCTAGGCCCATCCCGCCTCTCCGTTCCACCTGCCCCAAAAGTCGTTGGAGATCCTGTGCCTTTATTAGTGCGGGCTTGCAGCGGCAGCCAATAAGCTGCAGTTTGGCCCCTGATGAGAGGGGATAACATAGATCGAAGGGGATAGTAGCTAGCACGCGGTCGGACACCACCGGCGCAGTGCCTATCTTACCCCAGAGTCCGAGACGCCGTTCACATTCTGGACGTGAAGCTGCGAATCCCGGAACTTCGGCACGATGGGCCCCCTCGAGACTCTTTGAGATGGCTTGATGAGGTTTCCGGTTTACGGATGTTCGGCAGGGCTAGTTGCGGAGGTAGGAAACACGAACGATCTGCTGCCAGTCGACGTTGTGTCGGTGGGCAGATCAATTGATGGTCCTAGACTTAAATAGATAGGTTGAGGCTCGCTTTGGACCAAGCCGAGGCGAGATTGAGACACAGGTTTTGTAGGGTCTGCGTCCAAGATGCGACAGTGTTCGAGAGTGATTGTGGCCTTTACGGCCGGGCTGGCCTCGTTGGCAACGTCCGTGACGGGCCTGCCGTCGAGCGAGTACGTCGTTCACGAGGCGCGAAGCCCGACCACCACCGGGCAGTCTACCTCCCACAGCCGCTGGAAGCGTGGCAGCCGCCTCGATCCAGATGCCATTGTGCCCCTCCGGATCGGCCTGACGCAGAACAACCTGCACCTCGGCCACGACAAGCTCATGGAAGTCGCCCATCCCTCGTCGGGCAACTTTGGCAAGCACCTGACGGAGGACGAGGTCCACGGCTTCTTCGCGCCGTCCGACGACACCTTTTCGGCTGTCCATTCGTGGCTTGTTGGCGTTGGCATCAACGAGACGGACATTCGCCGGTATGCCAACAAGGGCTGGTTAGCCGTTGACCTGCCCGTGTCCAAGGTCGAGGACATGTTCCGCGCGCAGTACCACGAGCATGAGAGCGAGGAGGGCGTCCTCAAGATCGGCTGCGACAAGTACCACGTTCCCAAGCACCTGGCCGGGCACATCGACTACATCGTCCCCGGCGTCAAGCTGTCGCCTCCGCTCGTCAAGCGCTCCATCACGCGCCGCGACAACAGCGACAGCGTCAAGGCTCACAGGAAGAACTGGGACCCCAAGAAGATCCCGCCGCAGCTGCAGTTCTGGAAGAAACCCCCGCACAACCCCAAGCTGCCGACCGACCTGCAGGACTGCGCGCGCAACTTCACCGCCGTGTGCTACCGCGCGCTGTACAACATCCCGGCGGTCAACGTGCCCGTGCCCGGCAACGAGCCTGCCGTGTTCGAGTCCGGCGACACGTACTCTCAGCAGGACATCGACGCCTACTTTCACAAGTACACGCCATACATCCGCAATGGAACACATCCCAAGCTGCAGTCCGTCGACGGCGCGGATGCGCCCGTGGCCCCCACTTCGCCGTACAACACGGGCGAGTCGGAAATCGACATTGACATCATCCAGTCGCTCATCTGGCCGCAGTCGATGGTGCTTTACCAGGTAGACGACCGGCTGTACACGACGGCGAACAACATGTCTGGCTTCCTCAACACGTTCCTCGACGCGCTCGACGGGTCGTACTGCCACTCCACCGCATTCGGCATCACCGGTGACAGCCCGGGCATCGACCCAGCGTACCCGGACAAGCGGCCCGGCGGGTACAACCATCCGGAGATGTGCGGCACGTACAAGCCCACCAAGGTCATCTCCATCTCGTACGGCGAGAGCGAGCTCGACGTGCCCAAACGGTACCTGCAGCGGCAGTGCAACGAGTTCCTCAAGCTGGGCCTGCAGGGGACGACGGTGCTGGTCTCGAGCGGCGACTACGGCGTGGGCATCGGCCCCGCGGGCGACGACACCTGCCTCAACGGCTCTGGGCAGACGCAGACCATCTACAACCCGGGCAACCCCGTGGCGTGCCCATATCTGACGGCTGTAGGCGCCACGCAGCTGCAGCCGGGCACGACGGTGCTCGACGCCGAGAGCGCACTGCAGACGCCGCTCGGCCCGGGCAGCGAGCTCTTTGCCAGCAGCGGCGGCTTCTCCAACTACTTTCCCGCGCCGTCGTACCAAAAGGCGGCGCTGCGGACCTACTTTGCGGCGCACGACCCGGGCCACCCGTACTACGTCGCCAACGCCGACGCCAGCAACGTAGGCGCCAACGGCGGCCTGTACAACCGCGCGGGCCGCGGCATCCCCGACGTGTCGGCCAACGGGGCCAACTTCCGGGCCTTCACCAACGGGACCGAGTATCACTGGTTCGGCACGAGTCTCGCGGCGCCGCTGTGGGCGTCCATCGTGACGCTGGTGAACCAGGAGCGGGCGCTGCGCGGGAAGCGCCCCGTCGGCTTCATCAACCCGGTGCTGTACGAGAACGCGGGGGCGCTGACGGACATTAAGAACGGGTCCAACCCCAACTGCGGGTCGAGCGGGTTCGAGGCTGTCGAGGGATGGGATCCGGTGACGGGGCTGGGGACGCCCAAGTACCCCGAGCTGCTCAAGGTGTGGCTGAAGCTTCCGTAGATATGGTGGACGTTTACGTGAGGGGAATATACGCGTACATTGGGGAGGCGATGTTTTACAAGAGAAGAGTCGCTCGCTCGCATGTGCTGTGACGACCAAAGCTTCCATTGCCCGTGCTCACCTTTCCGTCTCGTGCTTCAGCCCAGCCTCTTTGGCCTTTTCGTCGGCAATCTTGCACAACGCCTCCCACTCCTCCTTGCTGACGCGGCTGACGCTGAGGCGCGACTGCTTGAGCATCTGCATGTTCTCGAGGGGCCCGCCGGGCTTGCCCAGCTCGCGCAGCTCCCGCAGCGTGATGGGCACGGCGAGCTTGGAGCGGAACTCGACGTGGACGAGGCTCCAGCGGGGTTTCTCGCGCGTGGACGAGGGGTCGTAGTATGGTGTGCCTGGTCGGCGGGCGCTCTCTGGTGTGCAGGTGTGAGTGAGTGAGATGGGGATGAGATGAGACGGGGTAGCACGTACTGTCCTCGGAGAACTCGCGGACAATCTCCATGGTGCCCGCGATGCCGGGCTCCTTGCAATTGGAGTGGTAGAAGAAGGCCTTGTCGCCGGCGTTCATGTTTCTCATGTGGTTGCGCGCTGCATGCCTGTGGTCAGTCGGCCGCACATCACGTCGAGGTTCTTAACCTGCGCCCACTCACCAGCATACGCACGGATGCCTGTCGCAGTCAGTACCACTTCAGTCTGGATCCCCGGAGGGCTCGCGAGTGCTTACCGTCCCAACCCTCGGGCTTCGTCTTTGCGCGCAGGTCGTCAATGGAGAAGCGCACGTCGATGCCATTCTCGAAGCGCGACTCGGGCTCCGCCTTCATGAGCCAGTACCACTCGCCGTCATGGCGCGGTGCCTCGGGGTTTGTCACGGGGATGGACTCGGGGTCCGGGTCCTCGGAGACGGCTCTCGAGTCCGTGCCATTCACGGCTGGCTTGGCATTGGATGGCGCCTTGTCGGCCTTGAGCTTCTGGACCTGGGGTTTGGGGGCCGAGTTGACCTCTGGCTTCTTGGCGGGCTTGCTTTGCGCTTTGCTGCTTGGCTTTGCCTTGCCGACGGGCGGCTTGGATGAGGGCTCAGTCGCGGCTGATGAAGCAACAGCGGCAGATGCAGCAGCGGCCTGGCGCGTGGATCGTCGTTTGGGGGGCGGGCTCGCGGCCTCGGAGGCGCGTTTGCGGGCCGGCATCTCTGCGAAATACGCGGACTTGCTGTTTGGGTTGAGTGCTGAAGCGATCCCGATGCGTGGGCACGGACAATTGCTCAAGGAGATGGTGCAAGCGCGTGTTGAGCGAGGTTGAAAGTTGAGGCCAATGCGGCGCGGCTTCGTATGTCCGCGGTATGACCATGAACTGGCGCGTGCCTCCGCCACTGCAGGACAGCCGCCAGGACGCACAGGTACGGTTCCCCACGTGCTCCAGCGGCCACTGGCTCCCGATCCCGTTGCCCCTTGAGCCACAACGCATGCTCCCGAGCCCGCTATAATGTAGGTGGATCCAGCCCTCCAACGGCGCCTCTGCCCTTCTTCCAGGTGTGATGGACAGGCGCCGCGGTCGCATGAGGTGCTCCACTGTCAATTCTACCGTTGACTTGGGCCACGGTGCTTTTTCTACATAATACATCAACCTTCATTCAGGTGGGTTCCTGGGGAGAACGACACGACCACAGCCGCCTCATTCATTCATGTCTAGTTCAGTACAAATGGGCTCCATCCCTCTCGTCATCAGCATCGTCATCGCAGCTGCGCCGCCGTCTCCGCCGCCAGGACCATGTACTTGCACCGCGACCGCAGCCACGGCCCGCACCGCACCAGAAGAAACGGTATCGGGATGCACGCCAGCGATAGAAATGCCGGAATCGACGAGGCCCAGTGTATGCCCAGCGCGTCGTACATGGCCGGCGTGAACAAGGGAAACACGGCCCCCAAGACGGACCGCAGCACCGACGCAGCCGCCAGGCTCGACGCCGCAAACACCGAGTAGCTGTCGATGAGGTAGCTGCTCGTGCTGATGAAGATGTTGACCAGTCCGAAGCCAAAGAACGCGGCACCCACTGCGCTGGGCATGAAGTGCACCGTCGGCGCATTTGTCCATGCGAAGAGGAACAGCCCTATGGGTATGGCCACTGCGCCCACCGTCGCGGGCTGGAGTCTCTGCTCCGGCGCGAACGCCCGCTTGGTACCGTCCTTGTTTCTCCTGGCGCGTAGCCTGTCGTGCACGTTGCAGTACGCGACGCCGAAGAGCATCCCGACCAGCACGGCTAGGAACGGCAGAGTCGCGACGCCGGCGGACCACCCGCGCTGGTCGCGGTACACGATTGGGAATGCAGCAAACAGTAGGTAGAGGATGCCGTATTCGATGGCGAGATAGGCCGAGAGCAGAAAGACGACGGGCTCCACGACGAGGAGCAGCCATGGCCGCACACAAGCCGTCTTGACAATGGAAGCGTACGACGTGTCGGGCTTCTCGGCCTTGCTCCGGTATACCATGCCGTCCAGCCTCGACAAGGCCTGCGCTCGTCTGCGGAGGAGAACGGGCGAGTACGTCTCTGGAATGATGAGACTGCCCACGAGCCACAACGATCCGGACATGATGGCGAGAAACCACTCAATTCCCCTCCAACCGTAGGCCATCCCGAGGAAGCTTCCCGTGATGGGCCCAAGCGTAGGGCCAAAGAACAGCGACGCCGTGAATATTCCCAACGGAGCAGCGCGGTCCTCCACGTCAAACAAGTCCGCGAGCACAGCCCCCGTGTGCACCAGGGACGAGGAGCCAAACGCCCCAGCCAGGAAGCGACAGACGAGAAGGCCCGCAAAGCTGCGGGAGCAAGCCGCGCCGATGTTGGCAACGGTAAACGCGCCAAAGGAAATGAAAAAGGTCGGCTGCCGGCCAAAGATTTCGCTCACCGACGCCCAAAGCAGCGGCCCGATGGCGAAGCAGACGACAAAGAGAGACACGCCGAGGAGGGCCGTCGTGGCCGAGACGTGGTACTCGTCCACTAGCTGCGAGACGCCGCCGGTGTATGCCGACGATGCAAGCGCTACGGACAGGGTCGCGAGCGAAAGAATGACAATGAAGAGCCATTTGTTGCCGCGGGAGAACTGCCGCGGGTCAAACGGATCGTCTGCGCGCCATTGCACCAAGTATGGGGACTCGGCGGAACCTGATCCTTCGTACGAGTGTTGTCGACATTCTTTCGTGATGGGCCGGAGAGTAAACACCAGACGCCAGGTGCGGTGGTTTGCCATGGTGTCGAGTCGTCTACCGGTGCAGCTGGCAGAGTTGTGAGGAGAGCTGCTGGCAGACAATGAGGACCGGAACACGGCCCGTTTAGTCGGACAAGTCGACAACACGGTTGTGCGATCGTTGCTCGTGGCAGAAGCGTCCAAACCCACGGCCGCCGCTCGCAATCCCTCGCAAAGACAGCATCCTCCCTCTACTTCTCGTAAAAGCGTACGTAACTCCGACGGGGAGGCAACGTTTCTTCCTCATCTAACTGCGGTCAACTCCCGTGCGAGATGTGACCGATCGGGCTAAGAATCACGCGACTGTTTCGGCACAGACGTCCATCCGGGCCCCGGGCTAGCGAGCGGATCAGATAAGTCTAAACCGGTTTGCCGACGCTGCGCTTCAGAACCGTATGAACTATTTGTATGCACGACGGGCATCCCTGTCCGCGATGGGGCGCGTGTGGGCGTGGACGGGGCCGAGCGCGGATCAGATAACTTTACCGAGGCGGGGCCCCGAGGATCATGTGCCGGATCGGGGAGCTGCTGCCGCATCGCCGTCGACGACCCGACGGCACTTCGTACATGTATAGTAGTCGAGACGCGGGAGGACGTCATACTGGACCATGGCGGAGCAGAACCAAATGCTTGAGCTGGAGGCTTTGCTGCTTCGGGAATGTGAATGGCGGCGCAGCAGTGGGATGCTATACGATGGAGCTCGGAACTCCCTCGGACATGGCTGTGACGGAGCGGACGGCCGCGGAGCCGCCCGCAGGAAGGGCAGAGGCCGCGTGTATAAGATTCCCGTCGAGAAGCAGGAGCGGCCTTTTGTGCTTCAGACTCGACAGCCTGAGCACATAGGGATACTCCATTAAAACAAGATAAGCGCAAGAGACCTTTACAGTGATCAACATGGGCTCCATGATCACAAGCGACGTCACCAACCAGGGCAACCCCAAGGATGGGATCCCGTGGTACCTCGACACGCTGGAAAACATCCCTCCCCTGGCCCAGCGTGTCCTCGTGGAGCACGGCGGCCTCAAGCCAGAAGAAGTCCGGGACCACATCATGAAGATTGTACGTCCGCTCTTCTTCCACTCCTCCTCCTCTCGTGGTTTTTACACACACGAGCGCCCCTAACACCCCGCAGCGCGAAAAGGCATGGACCTCATCGCCTTACCCCTGCGTCGGCCTCTTCCGCTTCCTCGACTACTCGCTGCCCGACTCGCCCCTGTACGACGAGGTGCTGCAGCGCCTCAAGGGCGGCAATGAGAAGCTCCTCGACTTTGGCTGCTGCTTCGGACACGACCTGCGCGCGCTCGTCGCCGACGGCGTGCCGGCCGAGAACCTCTGCGGCGCGGAGCTCAACGCCACGTTCCTGGACCTCGGGTTCGAGCTCTTCCGCGACAAGGACCGCATCAAGACGCCCTTCTACACCGCCAATGTCTTTGACGAGGACGACGCGCTGCGCAAAGAGCGCGCCGACGCGTTCGACATTATCCATCTCGGCTCGTTTCTGCACTTGTTTGACTACGAGGGCCAGAAGCGCGCCGCCACGGCGCTGCTCAAGCTGCTGAAGCGCCAGCCCGGGTCGCTCATCCTCGGGCGCCAGCACGGCGCCACAAAGGCCAAGGAGGTGCAGAACTACCTGTACAAGCCGACCAAGGAGAGCGCGAGCAACGGCCGGCTGCCGACCTTCTTCAACCACGACGCCGAGAGCTTCCGCCGGATGTGGGACGAGATTGGCGAGAAGACGGGCTTGCGGTTTGACGTTGGCACCGAGTGGGGGACTTGGGGATCTGCCAACGGCATGGACCCCGCGTACTATAAGCTCTGGTCTTGGGAGGACAAGGACACGCTGCGCTTCAAGTTTTGGGTGCGCGTGCTGTGAGTGATGCGATGCACGCAGCATATTGCATGGCTCGGACCAGGGAGACGTACTCTGCTATCCTTTCGCCTTGGTATTTCCTGATGCGCATGCGTTCTAGAGCAGATAGCTTGACATAGACCTCTGTCGAATTGACTCATTGATAGCGCAGAGCAATGGTAAGCGCAAGACTGACGGTGGACATAATCTGAACCTCCGTGCGCGCCTGCCATGCTCGCAGAGAGCGAAGATCCACAGAGGCGACATGTCACGGTGAATGCGAAGACTGCGCACCATTGGGAGGCCACGGTTGAAGGTCGCAGCGATATCCGTGGCGCTGCAACCTAAAGCTCACCGGTATGGGCTTCTTGACACCGGTGGGGGGCATTGAAGGCATCAAGGCCAAGCGCAGCTGATGCCGGTGCTGGGTCTGTTGACCCCAACCAACAGTTGTCAGCAGTCACCGGTGAGCCGAATGCTGGCGGCCGTGGTTTTCAGAGGGCTCTGTCGCTGATCGATTGTGTTCTAGAAACGCCGACGCAGCTTGGATTCAGCCCAGGACGCTGCAAGGCACGCTCATGTTCCGTCGACGGCTTGACAGCCCCTACGTTTGAAACGAACCCGCCTCGATGCTCTCGATATCTCACAGATGTGAGCACTGCACTGCAACTGGCAATCCAAACTTTTGGTAGCGATTTTCGTGCATTCTGTGCGCGCAGTCGCTCACCGTTCTGGACTCCCGGTGAAGGCGAGCTGAAGCCCCCCAGAATGGGCATCCCGAAGCCACCGTTTCTTCATGCAAAAGCATCACACCGTGGTCTGGTGGCGGGCAGCAGGGTCAGCGGAGCAGCCGGCTGCCCCAAGCCGCGGACAGCATGCAGCATCTCTTGACAGGCAGTCGATCCGGCACCTCACGGGCGACCCTTGCACATCGCGGCCCTTCCATCGCGCACTCACATGAGCTGACAAACCATGCAGGTGCGTGTGCGTTTTCGCGTTCGCGACGTACGCCAGTCCGTCGATTCGGTCGTTCGCGCAAGGCGCGCCCGGCCAAGCACGGATGGAACGTCCACCATTCATCGCGGGGACAGCTTCACTCGACGAGCCATCATGAGCGCGCGGTGAGTCAACAGAGACCGAGGCGTTTTGCTTTGACGCAAACCACCCCCCTGGCAGCCGGGTTCGTGGTCTTTTTGTCGTTGAGGAAGCTCGCCGAGTTCGCCCATTGGACCAAGTGTGTGGTCGCCGCGGCGTCTGCTCCCGCGGGCCCTGCCGACAGGTTGGAGTGAAAGGCGGTCGCCAGCGTGGCATGGCTCCCGAAAAATGCCGCGTGGGAAAAAAGGCGACGGGAACGAAGGAGCCGTTGGAGAGCTGCGTATGGGCGCATGATGTGGCTTGCGCGCCTGGACCGACGACAGCAGCCAGCCCCGGACTTTGCTGCGCGTCTGGCCATCGCTGGCCCGGTTCGCAGGTTCCTACAACCAGGGAGCCGGGACCGGTCTCTTCTCCCCCGGTAGTTCGAGGCCTGACGAGTTCCACGGAGCCGGTTCCTGCAAGAAGATTCGGCGGCGGAAGGGACAAAAGGAAAAGGGAAAACAAGTGGGTGCTTGTCGCCTGCAGTCGTGTTTGTTGCCGCGTTTGTTGCCGCACACGGCGCGCTCTCGCCGCCGCTGGCGCAGTCGGAAGCTGAGCTCAACTCATCTCGGATCACAAAACTGACGCCGCCGCCTGGCCTCGCCGCGGGCACACGCAGGGGTTGGCTGCCTCGTGTGGCCTGCGCTGCGTAGCCCTGGGCTTCTCACCGGCAAAGCAAAGGTGCCTCGCGTTTCTGTTTCCTCATGCATGCGGGTGTGCATGCAACGCCACCGTCACTCCAGGTTTACGGGCAGGGTCTGCCGTCGAGCCACTGCCGATGCCTGAACCTGCCTATGCCAAATGTCAGTCGTTCAGGCCCAAATGCATGCACATGCAATGGCCATCCGCATCCCGGCTGCCCGCGCTGTCGACTGGCAGGCCCCCTTCAGCCCTGTGGCCGGCAGGAATGGACGGGCAGCGCATGACTCGCGCGAGGATGCTTCAACGGGCACCGGTCAATGTCAAAAGGTTGCCGTCCAGGGGGCGCTGGGCCTTCCCAATGATGGCAGAGTGAGGAGACAGGCACCGAAGATTGGGCGCGCGGATCGGATTGGGGTTACACACGGCGGCAACTGAGCCGGCCACGTCTGCAGCAGAAAATAGAATTCTTTGTAAGCCCCCTCGCGCGAGCTTGTTCGCACTGCAACTCGGTGGGATGAACCCGCAGCTCTGCACACCGAGACGACGGCAGCCTGGGCCATACGGGCTCCCGGCGGAGGGCTGCTAGAGTCTCGCCCTGAACGTCAAGCGCTGCCAGAGATGCTCACGCCGCTCCCGGGCATCTTTGCCGACTGGGACCAGAGCTTCAGCGTCCGCAAGCAATTGAGCTCGTTCCGCCAAAGACTCCCGAGAGGAACACGGGTTGATGGCATACGCGCGGTCGTTGTGATTGACGCCGCAACAACCCTCGCGGTACTCGACACATCGGCGTGACGCTGTCTCGACCCGGTTCTTTCTCGCACCTTCACCACGTATGTTGTCGCAGGCCCCTTGTGCGACCGTCATCGCAGGCAAGCCAGCCTGTGACGTCGCGAGGCGGACGTGAAGGCGCGCGCAGCGACCTGCTGCACACCCTGCGCGTGCCTGGCCGGAAAACGGCTTTTTTTCTTCGCTGCCTCGTAATGCCTGCCCGCGGTAATCTCGCGGCGAGGGCATGCAACGGCTGCGCAGCCACCGAAAGAGCTTTCGTCAACCTCGCGACCTCGGTGAGGCGAGACAACGTCTTCCGGCACCGACCAGGTCCCCGTGGAACAAGAGGAAAAGAGATGAGGCAAGAAGAGGTGGGTATCACGGACGGGCGGAACGGAACGCATTGCGGCAGCTCGTGAGCAAGAGATTCGAACGAGCAGGGGCGATGTGGCTTGGGCGCAACGTGGACTCGGAACGTGATGAAGCAGCGCCAGAGAACTTGGAAGAGGCTACGCGAAGAGTCGGCTTTCTCAACAGGGTATGGTCGATGAGATGACACATGATAGAACGACTTTGAGCAAGCGGAACATGGGACGACACGATCAGTTCCAAGGTGCTCCAACGCAAGTGCGTGCAGGGGAGGTGAGAGCCCCAGTCCTTCAGCGGTGAGGGCCCGTACCACCATCGTGACCACTGAGATCAACCGACGTCGCGTGCATTCTCTTTGCGAGGGGTCTGCCAGTATGGCCCGCGAGGTGTAGGTGAAGTCCGTAAGGAAGAGACCCGGATATGCAGGATTGGGCGTGGGAGGATGCCCATTGGCCAGGGGTAGGAGTCCACCCCTCGAACCTCCTCCATAAGTAGCTCCCACCCCCTCGACCACCGTTTCCTCCTCTTCTCCTCCTTCTCTCTTTTCTCTGGCAAGGTCAACTGCCAGAAGACAGAGCCATCCAAAAAGTCCCATGTCGCCGGGATTTGGTCTCGGTACATTGGCGAGACCCCTGAGACCTTGATAGGGGGCTTTGCTTTCGCTGGCTGCTTCCCGCCGATTCTTCCTGCCTCGTTGTCTAGTCGCTGCCGTCATCCTGTGCCATTCTCTGGTCAGACGAGTCCGTTCGTCTAGTCGTCGCACCTGCACATCGTCGCACCTGCACATCAGTCCCGATGCACGCTGGATCAGTTTTGGGGATGAACGAGGCGGTTGGGTTCGCTGAGAGGTCACCGCCGCTGCCACCGTCGCCGTCCGCCCGAGAACCGTGGGTCGCGAAACTCCCCAATGGGCGGCAGGATGACGCAGTTAATCAGAACGGCGAGGATTTCGGTTTGGAGGAGGCCGTGACGCATGAGGTCGAGGTTGACGGCGCGGCTTGGACCAGTGTGGTCGGCCATCCCAGCCAGGGCCCTGGCTCGTCACGTGAATTCGCTTACACGTGCGACTTCGTCTTGTTTGACGAAGACCCGAGGGCGTCTGGCGGTGATGGGGCCTCTGCACTTGGCGCCTCCCCAGAGTCCCCACTGGAGGCACTCCCAGTCGATGCTCTGGGCCGACCGCTGGCGCAGGGGTATCCGCAGCTGGCTTTCCGCGACGCCGAAGCTCGCGCGAACGGATACCTCGAGACTGGCCAGATCTCTGATCCTCAAGCCATCGCAAGGATAGGCACTTGGGATGAGAACAGGGACGGAAGGGAGGCCCTGAGGGTCCCCGCTTCTGACTTTGACCGAGAACTCGACCGTTCACTGTCCTCGCAAGGCTCTTTCGGGTCGCACCTTGGGGGTGACGAAAGCCAGGCGTCAACCTCAACGGGTGCCACGTTCTGCGCTTGCTGCGAGTGCGCCGAAGTCGACTTCAACGACAGTCTTGCTATGAACTGGGCCCATGAGGGCCCCGCGCGCTTTGGTTGACGGGCAAGAGAGTCCAGTCGGCGAGGCGGAAAGATCCCCGGCTCGAAGAGTGAGCGGCGGCTCGACGAAAGTCATCTGATGTGCCCCGTGACCTGGACATGACGGCACTAGGCGGCGTTATTGGCGCAAGCGTTGGCACTGGAAAATGTGTGGCTCGGCTTTGTTTGCGGCGTTGCTTATCAGGTCCTGAGTATTGTGACCTTGGAATGATGCGCTTTGCATGTAGTTGAATAGTTGAATTGACGTGCGGCATGGATGTCGCTTATGTGATGAAGCAAAGGCTGCGTCCTGTTCGGTCGGCACGACAATCTCATCCTGTCGTGCACGCGAATGGTGGTCCATGGGCCGGTGGACGTCGGTGAGTTGCTGGCATAGTGCGCCACCGCAGAGCCTCGGGAGGCGGCGGTGATGGGCAAGTCGGATGGAAGAAGCAAAGGCGAGCGGTGCCCTGCTCAATCATGCTGGATGGAGAGGAGGCCGGGATGGGTGAATGAAGCCGAGTCGCGATGAGGTTGGTGAGGCGAGGTGCAGAGTGGGGGTGGGTGCCTGGTCGGCCGGAGACCTTGGATTGGTTGGCAGCCTCAGGCACCGCCGGTGCGACTTCCCAGGAAGCCGCAGACGGACCGATCACTAAGCCTCGTCAGCTTGCCAGGCCACTGAACCTGTTTTGGCCAGACTCATCACGAATTCGTGTCGCGTGCAACTTTGTGTGAAAAAGTCGGTCTTTGTATTATGTCCTGGTTGCCGAGTGGATGGCCCACACGCTTCGGCCGCGCTACGCGGCCAGTCATTCAGTCGTCACTATCGTTCTATGTACAGTCTAGCAGGCAGCGTAAATCGCCCACAATCGCTCCAGCATCAAAACGCTCGTCAACTATGACATCTCTATCGCTCTAGCTTTCCGGCGTGACACGTCTCGTCACGAGCCTTCTTGAGGAACGGAACTAGCATCGTCCCGCCCGTGCCCGTCAGCTCCTCGTCGCCGTTGCGCTGCGACGACGAGCTCGCCAGGTTCTGCCGCCTCTTGGGGCCCTGCCACGGCTGCTTGGACGGCAGGATGATGTATCTCGTCACGATCTGGATGTGCTTGTTGCGGAAGCTGCTCAGCGCTTCCGTTGCCGCGGTGTAAGAATCGCGCAGCCGCCGCTGGGCATCCGTCGTCGGCGGAACCAATGCCAGCTCGCGGATGCTGCCCGCCCTGGCGGCGTGCACGAGGAATCGCCGATGCGGACCCGGCATGTATTCGCGCACTTCGTTGTGGTAGCTCTTCTGGCCCGCACTGCCGTGGGTGTTGTGCTCCACGCCGAGGATGACGTCGAAGAACTGGATGAGGGAGCTCTGGCCGTTGCTACCGCCACGGAGCTGCCGCCACTCGCCCTTCCCGTCTCCCTCGTCGTAAAAGACGCCTCGAGGTAGGCCAGCCGATTCCATGTTCATGCTGCCGGCCAGGAACGGGCGGATGTGGTGGTAGAAGGTCATGGGGTCACACTTCTCGTACATGCGTTCGAGGAGGGCGCTCACCCCCTGGATGCAGCCACGCAGCTGGTCGAGAGCGTTGCTGATGACATCGTAGTCGCGCGTCTTGACGGCCTCGAGGGCCCCCATCATCGTTTGCAAGATGCCGGCGGCCTTGGCCTCCATGGCAACGCTGATGAGCAGGAACCATGACTCCGACTCGGTACCGGTAAAGGAGAAGAGGAGGCTGAGGTCGTCTATTTGGGTAAAGTCGTCGCCGGTACAGGAAAAGTTCCACAGGTTGGCGCCGGCGTACGTGAGCACAGGCGGCAGCTCGAGGTGCTCGGCTACCCTCAGGAAGGGCAGCGTAATCTGTGGGGGCAGAATCTAGGATGGTCAGCGGTGGTTCAAGGTGAGAGATACAATGTCGGATCCTACCTCTTCAGGCTTCTCGCCGCCCCAGACGTGAGCGTGCGTGAGGAAGCAAAGCAACGCGTATGCTCTCCGCCACTCGGCCTCGGACCTGAGCCGGTCTGTTGAGAGAACGGGCAACTGGGAGATGGACTCCCGGATCCGGCCGGCCTCGATGAGGGCTGGGAGATGCTGGGCGACGAGCTCCCACGGCTCGTAATAGGGGTCGGGGAGGATCTTGAGAGGGCTTTTGTCGGGGAGAAAGGCATTTGCGGTGACGGCAAACTTGGACAGGTCGACGCTGCCGCCGTCTTGGACGACAGCATGTGGCGACATTCTCGGATGGTGGTGATGGACTCGAGGACAACACGCCAAGATGTTTATGGTGATGGATCTGTACAGGTCCACCTCACAACGGGACGAGAAGGGCTAATATAGGCAGGAGGGACATGTTGAGGCCAGCCGAGGACGTGGACCGGTCGTTGTCTGATCTGGCAACCGCCTTCCGGGGGCCATCTTACACTGACTCCGCCATCACGCCCGCGCCTCCGCCATCCGCACCGGCCACGACATCCGCGCCGTTGAGCCGTCGAGCATCCGAAGCAGGGGGTTGGCCCGGCTGCGAACGGGCGGGTCACGCTCGCTTGCTCGCGCTGGGGTACTAACGTAAGTTGTTCGACAGGAACTAGCCCAACGGTGACGACATGCGCCGTCCGCGTGTCGCCCGCGTGGCCGGCCTGCGAATCAATCCGTCGCGAGCGCGCCAGAAGGGGCAAGTCTCGATCCGCCCGCGTCGGCTGGCCGCGGCCTCGGAAGGCGGAAGTTCGGAAGCTCGCAACGTGCCGGCGCGCGAATTTAGCGGTGTGCCCCAGGTGACCTCGCATCCGGGTGGGTACGACCAAGGCACGGAAGGCCAGTCAGAGGCGTCGGCACGGCACACTGGGCGGCCCATCTTGCACGTTCCAACTTCCGACGCCACGAACGCACCGCCAGCTCCGTGCCGTGCGGCCGCCGCTACCGGGGGATGCAACTCGAAAATGTGGACTGGGGAGGGGGCGCTCAAACATTTAGCCAGGCAGACGCAGCGGACATAAAGTGGTGTCGACGGACGACCGACCGGTGATGGCCTCGACACTGCGACGCATCTCACTCCTCGCACGTCCTCGCTCACTCGGACGGCTCGTCTCGCTGCCAATCGCGCTCCCGCCTCCCCGCGCCCGCCTGCCAAAGCCCTCCGTTTCATCCCCCATCACCAGCCTCTACTCGACGTCGGCATTGGCCCCAGCCGCTATCATGGACTTTGACGCCTGTGTACAGCGGCTTCGCAGCGGCGCGGCCGTCAAGTTCCCGCCCGACGCCAACTCCGTCGCTTTTGCGCAGCATATGGACGGCCAGGACAAGCTGCGGCACCTGCGCGACGAGTTCGTCCTGCCGACGAAGGCGTCGCTGAAGAAGAAGGCCCTTGATGGCAAGCTGCCCCGTGAGTACACCCATGTCGCGCGCCCTAAAGCTACGGCGCCTCACTCAATGTGAGCCCGCGAGCTTACATGAAAATAGCCCAACTCACCACCACCGACGCCGTCAATGGCGTCAATGGCCACGCCGCAGACGAGCAGTGCCTCTACTTTGTCGGCAACTCCCTCGGCGCCCAGCCCAAGGCCGTCCGGCGGCACCTCGACGCCCAGCTGGAGACGTGGGCGTCCATTGGCGTCAACGGCCACTTCACCGACATGGCCGACTCGCCCCTCACCCAGTGGCAGGACATGGCCGAGGACTGCGCCAACAAGTCGGCCGACCTCGTTGGCGCGTCCCCCGACGAGATCGTCATCATGAACACGCTCACCATCAACCTGCACCTGATGATGGCGAGCTTCTACAAGCCCGACGCCAAGCGCCACAAGATCATCCTCGAGTGGAAGCCCTTCCCCAGCGACCACTACGCCATCGAGGGCCAGGTCGTGTGGCACGGCCTGGACCCGGAGAAGAGCATGGTCAAGATTGAGCCCGACGCCGGCACCTCGCTCATCCCGACGGAAAAGGTGCTGCGCACGATTGACGAGCACGCCGACGAGACGGCCCTGCTGCTGCTCCCCGGAATCCAGTACTACTCCGGCCAGCTATTCGACATCCCGCGCATCACGGCCTACGCCAAGGAGCGCGGCATCGTCGTCGGCTGGGACCTCGCCCACGCGGCCGGCAACGTCGAGCTCAAGCTGCACGACTGGGACGTCGACTTTGCCTGCTGGTGCACGTACAAGTACATCAACGCCGGCCCCGGTGCCATCGCTGGCGCCTACGTCCACGAGAAGCACGGCAAGGTCGAGTGGGCCGACGGCCGACCGACGTACCGCCCGCGGCTGATGGGCTGGTACGGCGGCGACAAGAGCGTGCGCTTCAACATGGACAACATGTTTGTGCCGACCCCCGGCGCCGCCGGCTACCAGGCGTCGAACCCGTCCGCCATCGACCTCGCGAGCCTGTCGGCCGCCCTGTCCGTCTTCAACAAGACCAGCATGGCGGACCTGCGCAGCAAGGCGCTCGTCATCACGGCCTACGCGGAGCACCTCCTCAACCAGATGCTCACGGAGCAGCCCGCGGGAGAGAAGCCGCTGTTCGGCATCATCACCCCGTCGGACCCGTTGCAGCGCGGCACGCAGCTAAGCGTGCTGCTGCGCGAGGGTCTGCTCGAGCGCGTGACGCAGGCGCTCGAGGAGAACGCCGTCATCTGCGACAAGAGGAAGCCCGACGTCATCCGCGTCGCGCCCGTGCCGCTGTACACGCGCTTCGAGGATGTGTGGAAGTTTATGCAGGTGCTCCGAGGGGCGCTGGGCCTCAAGCAGCAGTGAGCGCATGATGATTGGACTTGTTGTATACTTATGCATGGCGTGCGGTTAAATGGCATATTTTATGGTTTGCTCGCCTGTCCTCGCCGTCTTAAGCGGGCTCGTCCCGGCCCGTGAAGCCATGATCCGGCAGGCGACCGGAGTCTTTTACGTTTCGCCAACGCATTGGCCGGACCGGGTCCGTCACGCATCGCGTGGCAGCGTTCAATTCGAGACTAATGTCAGGACGCCCCGTCTTGTTTTCGTTTTCATTATTCACAGATACGTTTATTGTGTCCCAGGGGGAACTTCTGTCGCTGGAGTTCGGATGCAGGGGCGGAACTTCGGAACTTGGCGACTCTCCCGCGTGCTAGGGAGTGCGGCAGGATCACCCGCGTCATGGAGCTCCGAGCACGAGCTCCATTCTGCATGGCTCTAAAAGAGACTCAGCAATGCGCACGCTAGCATACGGTCATGGCCAGGGCAAACGAATGCGCGGATATGTTGCAACGCTTCTTGACTGGACCAGCACAGGGACTGACACCAGCCGCAGAATACACATAAGTCTACTTCCACAGAACAATAGATTCAATCAGGTCGTTCATAGCGGCAGCACACCCTAAGCAGGCTTCCCGGAAAACAGTATTTCTGTATAAAGAAGATTACCGTATACAGTACTCCTTTCAAGGGTAGATAGTTCACTTTCGGGAACACAGTTGGCTTCTCTAGGGTAGGCCAGTTCTCACCAGTCCGGATCGAAGCCTGTGCACCTGCATAATACTTGATCGCGGCTTGCGTTTAAAGTTGCTTCTCTCACGAACGATTTGATACGATTGCTGGCTGCACTTGCGGCTTGCCATACCTCTGCATTTTGCGGAAACTCTCTGTAATGTGGTTGAGCCATCTTCCGCAGCATGGATGATGCTATTGTTCATGACAGCTCATGACTGTACGGTACCACACTTGCGAAATGCACCCGAGCAGCCGTTGGGCTCTGTGAGAGTCTCGACTGTCATTCACGATGGATTCTGGCGTTGCATCGAAGACAAGGGGCGGCTGAGGATGGAGAAAACACGGCTGATTGCATGTGTTGGCTCGAGTCTAAATGCCAAGCACCGGAGCCCAGAATACGAGCATAGAGGGGCGGCTTAAACGGCGGATCACAGCAATGGCCAACCAACAACATCTCTTCTCCTCACCCGCATCAGTGTCGCACTGCCGATGCCAACGCAACTTGTATAGGAAGAACTTGGTTTCCGGTCACGGCCCAATCATGCCCAATCGGACTCTTCGCCTGGCACGAACTTCAGATTACTCGGTGGCACCCTACATTCAGCCTACAGACTCGTTTGGCGGCCCGATATAGGTGCGGGCTCGGAGAATTCGTGATCCATGTGTACGTGCAGTCGCTTTCATGGCGATGTGGTGCTAACAAGGACACGAACACTGGAGGCCTCCTTGCCATCATATGACAAAAGGCAGGTGACTAGAGCGACGAGAAGGTTGTCAATATATAGCCAAGAGACAGAACACGAACAGAAAAGAGCTAGGGATGGCCCAACCTCAATTTGTCGGGAGCGGAGGGCCACACCTTCTTGGCTCCAGTCCGGGACTGGGTGGTAACACGGATCTCTCCGTGCGCCGGCACCGGAAGAGGGAGGAACAGAATACCCTACGTACCGGTAGTTGTGTTGCCATACGAAACGACCGCGATCTGGCGATACCAAATGGCGATCGAAAACCTTTGGACCGCTTCTGTGCGTCAATTGTAGACTCTCGTCTACCAAACCCTCGGCGTGTGCTGTTGCGGTCCACTGCACCAAGTATTCGTGTTGAGCTGCACGGCACCTGTGTTGTTCATTGTTCGCTGTGGTCCCCTAGACATTAAATTCAGCATCTATCCAACTTATGTGAAAGTCAACGTCGTCTGCACGAATTGGATCGTGATGTAGTGCTATCTGCGACATTAAATCCGCGCGTTCGCCGATTGGGACGGGGTTCGAATTCACAAGACAAAGCCCTGCTTGAGGATGCGACTAAGCGCGTTGAGTGCGTCGATGGTGAGAGTCATGGTTTCGTGCCAGAGCCCGACTCGACTCGGGGCGCTGACGTGTTGATCGGAGCGCCTTTATCGTGACCCGGCACTAAGTGAGACACAAAGCGGACGTTAATGGGGTTCGTCAATCTTGAAGCAGATATCTGCAGTGGACGGTTTTGTGCTGATGAAGCCGTCTCGGGTCTCCTTGCCTTCAGCTTCGTTTGTTGTCCGCCTAGCGTCGCGGAGCCAGGTTGCTGGCGCCCCATAGAAGCTCGGGCATTTCTTTGGTGGTCCGTGTTTACGATTGAGGGTTTCCATTCGCGTTCTGTTGGGCAATCAGAAGAACAATTGTCCAACAGAGCGTTCCAAATACAGTACTGACAGGTCGAAGGAAAATAAAAATAAAAAATAGAGGCACACGGGGCACTGCGTCTGCCCATGTGGCTCGGGTCGAGTCAATGCACTCAAGGTGGCTCGAGAGACGACATGGGCCTCACATGGCACGACGATCATTTCCATTGATGCCATCCGTGCAGCTGGCGTTCCCGGATTCCGGGAGGTTCGGGCAGCTTGTGTGGCATGGCGGTGACGAGCGAGCGCAATGGTCACCAAGCTGCGTTGGTGAACTCGAGGGGCAGGGGTTGGGTTCGTTGGGGTAACACTGCAAGGGCCCGAGCTAATCGATGTGACGATGGATTGTCACCTTTGACGCACGACCACCATCGGGCCCGCGGTCCGGACCACGAGCCATCGTCATGGAGAGCGCTTCCGGGGCCGAGACTGCCACACGGTCGCGTGTTGCCGACTGTGGTACGCACAGGCGGGCACAAGGTTATCATGTCTCATCGGGGCATGCACGCGGGCAGCGGGCAGGGCCGAGGCGACGCCACAGTTGCATTTCCAGGCGTTATGGACGGCAATAGTCTCTGTGGACGACATGTCAGGCGGAGGTTTCGCTGCCCGATCCGATTTCACTTTGTCGTCGATTGTCCCGCTCATCTCGTGGGTTTCATGTGCAGAGGCATGGGCTACCCCTGAATGGGCGTCTGTAATAAGCGTGTAAGTGGCGGCGGTATCGACTCTTCAGTCTTCACTGCATCCACTTCGCCTCAGGGGGCAAACACGGCTCTTTTAGTGGGCTTTGGTGGGTCGTGGGTTCGTCCGATCGTGCTGTTTCACGGGCGAAGCTTCTCATTCAGCGCAACAGCGACGCATGGAAACTTCGAGGCAGGCGAAGGGTTACTGCCAAGCCTCGTCATCCGGCCAACAATCAATGACTTTTGGACTTTTCACCACGGGACCGACCTGCCATGTAACGCAACGCAACGCAGTCGCAGTGAGCCAGAGCTTTGAGGCTGAATGTGGCGCACAGATCAAGAGCAGGCGGCGGGTGGCACGCGCCGCCATGACAAGGTAACGTCGCAATGCGGGGAACCACGGCCCAGGCCGCCCTCTTACTGGACGAAAGTGCCGGCTGGCAGCGTGGTTCCTCCAAGCCCCGTGCGGAAAGACAGGCACAGGGCCCTGAATGACCAAGCCAGACTGGAAGCCAAGCAAGCCACGGCTCCAACTGTACCTTGGTCCGCGATATTATTCTCCCCGCGCATTAGGAAGCTGCAGCTTGGGGTCGTGGAGCTTCTTCTCCAACTTTGCAACCTCAGACGGCCCAGAGGGCGCGCGTCTGTCTTGTGACGGACGGGAGAATGCTTGGCCGGCGCCGCATGCGTCGTGCAACCAAGACATGGCTCAAGACTGACAGATGGCGCTCCTGCAGTGGTTCCATCCCTGGTCTTGCCGCCTCAATCTTGATAGCAAGGGCCCTTAATTTCGTCGACTTGGAGTCTAAGAGACGCTACCGTGCCCAGCCAGGGTTACATTCCATCACAGTCTCCCCCGATGATCCCCGCATCATGTCATCTCGGCGCAAAATCGCCAGCAAAAAGAAAAAGAGCGGTGCAGCTTGTGTAGCATCGGGCCGCCATGGGGTCCCTGAGTCCGTGTCGACGACGACGTGTACAAAAGCACGCGTCGCGCCGGCCCTGTAGTGTCTCTGCTTGTACAACCACGCGCCTCATTGACAGCAGCGGTCAACTAACCATCAACAGCGATCACGGGCAAGATGCGCTTCCACCTCGCCCTCGGTTTCGCGGCGGCGGCCTCTGCCGTCAAGGTCAATCCCCTGCCGGCGCCGCAGGAGATTACCTGGGGCACATCTGGTCCCAGGAGCGTCGGCTATCTCGACTATCGCACCAATTCGGACCACAAGCCCAACGACAACTCGCGCGTCGTCAAGGATGCCTGGAACCGCGCGATTGAGGCGGCCAAAAAGCTTCGCTGGGTACCGCAAGCTACCGAGGCTCCCATCCCCAAGTTCGACCCCTTCCCCACGGCGGGCAGCGATGCCAACACCAAGCGGACCACGGGAGGCAGCTGGTTGTCGGGTGTCAACATCAAGATCGACGACTGGTCGGCGGACCTGAAGCATGGCGTTGACGAGAGCTATACCCTGACGATTGGGTCCTCGCCGACGATTGAGATCACGGCCAAGACGGCCTGGGGCGCGCTGCACGCTTTCACGACTCTGCAGCAGCTCATCATCTCGGACGGGCGCGACGGTCTTCTGATCGAGCAGCCCGTGACCATCAAGGATCGCCCCAACTTTGCCTACCGCGGCGTCATGGTCGACACGGGTCGCAACTTCATCAGCGTCAACAAGATCAAGGAGCAGATTGACGGCCTCGCGCTTTCCAAGATGAACATTCTGCACTGGCACATCACCGACACGCAGTCCTGGCCCATCCACATCGACGCGTACCCGCAGGTGACCAAGGATGCGTACTCGTCTGCGGAGACGTACTCGGCCAGGGATGTGGCCGACATCATTTCTTACGCGCGTGCTCGCGGCGTGCGCGTTGTTCCCGAGATCGACATGCCCGGCCACTCTGCGTCCGGCTGGAAGCAAATCGACAAGGACATCGTGACGTGCGAGAACAGCTGGTGGTCCAACGACGTCTGGGCGCTGCACACGGCCGTGCAGCCCAACCCCGGCCAGCTGGATGTTATGAACCCCAAGACCTACAAGGTCGTCGAGCAGGTGTACAAGGAGCTTTCAAGCCGCTTCACCGACGACTTCTTCCACGTGGGTGGTGATGAGCTCCAGACGGGCTGCTTCAACTTCTCCAAGGGCATCCGTGACTGGTTTGCCGAGGACAAGTCGCGCACCTACTTCGACCTCAACCAGTACTGGATCGAGCACTCGACGCCCATCTTCATGGACAAGAAGAACACCGGCAACAAGAAGCGTCGCCTCGTCATGTGGGAGGATGTCGTGCTCTCAGCTGACGCTGCTGCCACCAACGTCTCCAAGGACGTCATCATGCAATCGTGGAACAATGGCCTCACCAACATCGGAAAGCTCACCGAGGCCGGATACGACGTCATTGTCTCTAGCTCCGACTTCCTGTACCTTGACTGCGGCTTCGGTGGCTACGTGACCAACGATGCCCGCTACAACGTCCAGTCCAACCCCACCCCCGACACGCCCAACTTCAACTACGGCGGCATCGGCGGCTCGTGGTGCGCTCCTTACAAGACGTGGCAGCGCATCTATGACTACGATTTCACATCTAACCTGACATCCGCGCAAAAGAAGCACGTCATCGGCGCCGCCGCGCCCCTCTGGTCCGAGCAGGTCGATGACACCATCATCAGCGGCAAAATGTGGCCGCGCGCCGCTGCCCTCGGCGAGCTGACCTGGTCGGGCAACAAGGACCCCAAGACGGGCAAGAAGCGCACCACCACATTCACTCAGCGCATTCTCAACTTCCGAGAATACCTTGTGGCCAACGGCATCAGCGCGACACCCCTGGTGCCCAAGTACTGCATGCAGCATCCGCACGCGTGCGACCTCTACTATGATCAGGAGGCGGTCAAATAAACACCTGGGTCATGTAGACGTCGACGGGTTCTTGTGCGTCGTAATTTGAGGCTTCGTATCATGTACATCCTTTATAGATGACTTTTAAACATCAATTACAATCGCTTCGAGCGGCTCAGCTGTGTACTACGATGCCCCACTGCAAGGATCGCTCTACTTGTTCAACCTGTGTGCCCGGTCAATGTCGTTCCAGAACTCACACTGCCTGACCCTCTTGTCGTCCTTCTCGACATCTACAGACTCCGGGTTCACAACGACTTGGCTCGGCACCTCATTGCCATCGGCCTTGTACATGGGCCACGCTACGGCGTCGTCCTCACGCAGCTTGTTGGGGTCCCCGGTTGCAACGAAGCTTGCCATGTATGCGTGATACCGCCTAGCAGTCTCTTTGAATGGAACACTAGGGTCGTTCCATAAGTAGGACATATCCGATGCGTGTGGAATGCCCTTCCATGATTGCGCACTCAATGGGTTTGTGGGCGTGTTGAAGCGCAGCCTCCAAGTTGGAACGTCGGCATCGGATGTGCGCCGCGCCGTCTGTCGACTAGGACAAATATAAGCCATGTCCGACCACGAGGCCGAGAGGCGATTATATTGGGTACTGTTTGGGGACTTTGCCCAGGCAGACTCAGGATGCGCAACAGGGTCCGGGTACAGGTCGTTCAATATGGCCAGGTCGGTTCTGTTCAGCCCGGGGCTCATCCGATGCCAAAACTCGATAAAATCATCATTTGTTTGCAGGTAGCCTGGGGTGTATAGTTTGCCCTCGTCGGTGGTGTGGCTCGTCACCAGAGGAAGATGGTGAAATGTCCCTTCGGTAAGCGATTGTGACCCCGAGTGCTCCAGAAGTGCGCCGCCAAGCGCGGGTTGCCAAGGCCAATTAAGATTAGGCTCTGCCTCTGCATAAATCGCCGACGTGATCTTCTCGATCTCCCGAGCGGGGGCGTTGCGGAGACAGCTGAGCTGTTCCTTGTCACCCACATCTGTGTCGCACCCAATGTGGCTCATGAGGCTTTCAAAATCGCTCTTGTACCGCGGGTAGTCGACAGGCGGGAACGCTCGGGCTGTGGCTGCTCCAGACTGCATGAATGCTCTGGCAAAAAGAGGATTCCCTTTGCTGACGCCGTAATTGTGAAAGTACTGAAACGCCGTGGAATGTGCTCCGGCCGAAAGCCCGCCCAGAGTAATCTGCTTTTGGTCGCCCCCGAACTCTGACAGGTGAGTTTGCAGAAACTCGAGGAAAAATGTCTGGTCCTGGAGACCGAGGTTCAGCAAGCCCTGTCGCTCGAAGAGCTTGCTGGGAAGGAAACCGAATGAATTGAGACGGTAGTTGAACGTGACTACCATGACCGGCTCGCGGGACGACGCGACAAAAGACGCGCCGTCCATGGTCAAGGCAGAGTAGAGCACGAAGCCCCCTCCATGGATCCACACGAGTGTGGGCAACCTTTGACTCAATGGCACCTCTGCCGGTCGGTAGACATTGAAGTTGAGGCATGCTTCGTCTTGCTTGTCCAAGTTGACGTAGGCTGGGTCCTGAGTGCAAGCTGGCCCGTACTTTCCAGCATCGTGAACGCCAGGAAATGGGGCAGGTACACCTTGAATGGGTCGGAAGCGGTTCTCGCCCACAGGTTGGATGGCATAGTCTACGCCGAGCCACGCGTCGACAGGGCGAGGAAGTGCATGGCCACTCAGCGTTTGGTTGACCTGAATGCCAGAGTAAGATCCGATCCCGGAGAGGGAAACTGGAGGGGGTGAGGCGGTAGCGCTGGTGAAGTTGGCTCCAATGGAGGTGGCGAGGGGTGCTAAAACACTAGAAATTGTCCCCAAAGATGCGTGGAGGATCATTGTGTGCGTTGCTGAGGGCGATTGATGGTTTCAGGCGTATGAGAAAACCGCTGACTAGTATTGTCATGTAGGTTCGGCACCGGGGGACTGAGGCTCGAACTGCATCGACTTGGTCTTATCGAAGTTGCGTGTGTTGCTGAAGCGACGCGCTGGTGACACCGACTCACTTGATAGGTGCAAACACAATTTTGTGTAACAAGCTCTGATCAATACTTATGTAGGCACTCGTCGGTGGTGTGTCGTGAAACAAGTGTCCATCGTGGTTCCGATTCCGACAACGGAACTACCAACGCCAGTTCGGCACCTAGAATTGGGACCGCACGCGGGGCCAGCCGAGGCTCTTCACGGTAGTGCGGAGGGGTCGCAACGAGGGGTGCTTAATTGATACACGCGAAAGACGCCCGAGAGATCCTGCACCTGTCAAATCGGCGGTGCGATATCATCAACAAACCGGACTTGGCGCGCATTGTGTGGAGAGCGTCTGCAGTGGAACAGAGGTCATGCTCCCGGGTCATGGCGACAACGGAAGCCGACCCCCGCCCAAGTGAGCTAGATGTGACGGACTGACATTGGGAACGCGGAACGTGTCGGAATCGATCTTGGTCACCTCATCTCGATAGATTGATCGGTAGACACGTATGCCCCGGAACAAGATGTAAGCCTCGAGTCAATGCCAGATGCTGCGACATGGCACGCTGGCATGCGGGTTGAGTTGTGGAGTGGCAAGGCAGCCGGTGTCAATGCACAACGACCACTGTGTGAGCCGTTGTAGCTACACACATGGTCCAGCAGGCACGACGGAAGCGACATGCATTGGCCCGAGCGACTTCAATGTTACAAAGTGGTCGCCGTCTGTTGGCGTCGGCTGTCTGCTCATCTTGCGTTTAGGATCTGCAACCCCAGCAGCCATAGCGCAACATCTGCCGCGCAACTTTTGGTTCAGGTAGGCAAATGTACGCCCTCTTTGTTGGTGCAGGCTCTCGTAAAATGCTACCTGTAGAATGAATCCCAAAAGTCCATGTGGTGCCGCTGTCCCCAACCAGATGCACTTCGCGGCTGCGGAGCCTCCAGGAGCATTATGTTGTCCTCAGCGGCTTCATATTCTGGCCATAACGGCAAGATTGGCTGCGTGTTGCCTGCATTCGGTGATCCGGTCCTTGCAAAGTTGGTCCAGTACGACACCATGCGGGACGACAGTTCCTGCTGCGCTTCGGAGAGCGGCCGCGCAACACCAGACGCTCCATGAAAGCCTCGGAATAGGAATTGAAGCTCTTGGGCATGAGCAGAGCCGTACTGAAATGACACTTGAGGCCACGAGACTGGCGCATCTTTGACGTCGAACTCGTACGCAAAAACGGTCGGGACAAATTTCTTGATGACTCGGGCTGAGCGCCTACCAGAGGTCGCAATGATGCCTGCATCCCCAATAGCGGCGGCAACGGCACGAGCAGGGTGCGGATAGTCCGACAAAGGGTAGCGTTCCAGTATACTGTCGAACGCAGTAGGCGGGACTTCCACTCCCAGGAACCCACCTTTGCTGGCCGCCTCAATGGAATGTCTCAAAATAGCAGGATATGCTTCCTGGGATATCGTCAGACCCGCTGCGAGCTCAATCATTCCCTGGAACCAGGAGAACTCGTCTTTTGTCACTCCAATCATTAACGGCGTTTTGTTGAAGCTGCCGTCGAGAAACCGTTGTCGCAAGTTGCGAGGGATAATGGCCCCGTCTTCCATCAAGCCAAAGGGAAACCTTGTCGTGCCAAACTCGCCGTTGGGGACGGAATTGGCTGCCAAGAGCTGTGCTGCAGACAATGCGCGGAGCCCAGAAGGGGACTGATCGATGCAGTTGGCGGCCGCTGCGAGTGCGACTCCAGTGTCTTCGAAGGACTCCACAGACGGATGAGGGAACGATATTGGCGAGCCTCCACTCTGGATGATGGCCTTGTGAAAGAGGCCTGTCGAGGCCGGCGATGCAATATGCGCGGCCACAGATATTGCTCCGGCCGATTCTCCGAAGATGGTGACGTTGTTGCTATCCCCGCCAAATCTGTCAATGTTGCGCTGCACCCATCGCAGGGCCGCTTGCTGATCCATAATTCCGTAATTTCCACGGTCATGTTTCTCTTGGTTGATGGCGGGGTGAGAGAAGAAGCCAAAGAGGTTCACTCGGTAGTTGAAAGAAACAAAAATCACCTTTCCCTCCTTAACAAGAGCGCTCGGGTCGTAATCGCTGCTGGACCCTTGAAACAGCCCACCACCATGTATCCACACCATCACGGGCAGCGGGGCGTTGCACTGAGTGGACAATGGGGCGTACACATTGAGATAAAGGCAGTCTTCTGAAATGCTGTTATGTCCGAAGCCCGGAAAGGAACCTTCCTCTTGAGCACAGATCGGTCCAAACTCCATCGCTGGAAGCGCCTTGGTCCAAGGTTCCGGCTCGACTGGAGGGCGCCAGCGCAGCTCCCCAAGTGGTGGCGACGCATAACGTACCCCTAACCACTTGCGCATGCCGCCACCATGGAAACCTCGGATTGGCCCATGGCTGGTGTTGATAACATTGGAAAGTCTCATAGAAGCAGGCATTTGTTCGTAGTCACTGTGCGAACGATGGTGAGCTGGTTGGGGTTTCGTGGCTGCTGGGGAATTATACGCCATTAGCCGGCTCCAAAGCCATTAATGCTAAAGGCCATACGACCTTGGGCCGATGGAACGGCTTTGCCCCGCTGCCAATGGATAAGCCCCGTTGAATGCGATCGAACGGCCTGGCCAACAACGAACTTCATGACACACACAGCATTGAAGACAACCGCGAACGAGAAGCACAGGCAGCCACTGCAGCAACTTTGAAGATAGCGTGGTATGGTTCTCTACATGGTCAAATCGTGATGAGTGTTCTTCTTGGGCAAATCCGCAGTCTTTCATGAGGCATTGAACGCCAACCTGCAGTTGTTGTGGGGCTGCGTCTGCTCAGACCGCGGTCAAAAGGCCCGGCTAACGTATCGACGCGCACGAACTTTCCACCCCGACGGTCATAGATTTCGCCGGTCTGTGGCGTTCAATAGCCGGAGAGCTATTGTCAACAACTGCCCACAAACGTCCATGTTGTCCCCGCGAGACACCGAGATCAACTGAGGTGGAGTCTTTGGACCCTCTTCCCCGGAATCCTGGGGTCTTCCCCGGATTCCCCACATCAAATCTTTAGATCATGTGGGACCTGTCAATTTGGGTTGTAAGTGCCTCCTTTGCAGTGGACCGCTTGCATCTATATGAGAATAGTATTTGATGAGCGCCCGGTCAACATCTCTGGCAAGCTGCTATTGATCATATTGCACGTGTGCAATAACATTCAATACTCCGTCGCGCAAATCGCCATTATGAGCACCACGCAAGCCACGACGGAGCCGGACAAGGATGGCCAGACCGCGCATCATGAGGACACAGTGGACGATGAAAAGTCGCAACCCGCCAGCGAGTCGAACCTCGTCTACTCAAACGCTGAAGAGGAGCCCGAGATTCACCTGCGCACTTATATCGCCCTGGCAGCCATGTTGATGCTCAATTATGTTCAAATCATCGCCCTACAAGGGCCCCCCGTCGTCGTAAGTGCATAATGAACGTCAGCGTCAGTTCGCATAGTAACAATGCCTGGGTGTACTAGTTGGAAAATATCGGCGAAAGTCTTCATAATACTGCCGCGCAGACTTGGGTGCCCAACGCGCTGGCCCTTGTTCAGGCCGTCTTGGCACCCATCATTTCGTCGGCTTCCGATACTTTCCAAGCAAGGAAGCTTATCATGGTTGTCTGCTGCGTGATTTCGTTCATCGGTTCAGCAATTGCGCCCGGATCTCAAAGCATCTACCGACTAATCGTGGCCCAAATCCTCATTGGATTTGGCTTCTCCTCCACCGCTCTGGCCTACTGTGTTCCGAGCGAGATCCTACCGAAGAAATGGCGGCCGAGTATGTGCTTCCTGCATCCTACAAGCCCAGAGCTAACCTGGCCAAAGTGGTTCAATCCATCATCAATATTGCCGCGGCTCTTGGCGCCTGTTCAGGCCCGCTCATCATCGGCGCTCTTAGCCGCTACGACCCAGAAAATGGTTGGCGCAAGTATTTTGTCAGTCCCATGTACCCTCAATCTTTCTCCTCTGCTAACTTAACGTTAGTGGATCCAAATGGCACTCTGGGGAGCCACTGCAATCTGCATCTTCGTTGGTTATAGGCCGCTAAAAAGGCATACCGTCTACGACAACTTCACGCTTAGCCAGAAGCTCATGGCTCTCGATATCATCGGAGTTGGACTGTTCACTGCAGGACTTACACTTTTCTTGGTCGGTCTCAATCTGGGCGGTGGGTTATATCTTTGGACCAACGCCAAGGTGTTGGTCACTCTGGTGGTCGGACTCGTCACGTTGCTTGCCTTCATCGGATACGAGTGGAAAGGCACTAAAACCGGCATGGCGCATCACGACCTGTTCCGGGCAGGGCCTAACGCCGGCCGTGTCTTTGGGATATTCCTTGGTCTCATTTTTGTCGAAGGGATTATGCTCTTTGCCTTTGTCATCTTTTATCCGGTGCTGTAAGTTGTCCATGTCATCGCTCATTGGCATCAATTGATGTCCGCATCCGCTAATAGTCCATGTTTGCAGCACGACGGCTCTTTTTGAGCAAGACTCCCTTCTGCTTGCCGCTCGCGCTCAGCCCTTTTGGTTGGCTGGCGGGGCGTCAACAGTGGTATGGGGCTACTGGAGCGTCAAGGCCAAGTCCATCCGCGTGCCATTGTGTGCCGGATTCGTCATTTTTACGGGCGGCATCATTGGATTCACAACTATTCAACCGGGTGATTCCACACGGGCCTGTATTTTTGCTGGGTTAGCCGGCATCGGTTTCGGTGCGCCGCTTATCCTTATCATTGCCGGCATTCAGCTTGCCACCCCCCACTCTCTGATCGCTACAGGGACTGCGTTGGCCATTACTAGCCGCGCGGTTTCGACCGCTATTTTTACCGCCATATTCAGTGCCGCATTGACCGATCGCCTGGAGCCCAACATCATCAGCTACGTGTCAAGGGCCGCAATCTCTGCAGGGCTTCCGGCGAGCTCGGTGCAGGCTTTTGTGATGGCTCTTTCCGGAAAAGACGAGGCTGCGCTAATGAAGGTTCCTGGAGTCACTCCGCCCATGATTGAAGCGGGCATCACGGCTCTGAAGCAAGCTTTCGCTGACAGCATCAGAGTCATATTCATTATTGCAGCTCCATTTGGGACTGTAGCTTGCCTGCTCTGTTTCTTCCTTGACGACCAAAGCAAGGAGATGAACTACCGGGTAGACGCACCGGTTGAGGATCTTCACGTTCGATCGCATCGACATCACGCCGCCTCGGAAGCATGAGGCGGTTCCCTTGCCCTCAAAATTGATAGAGACGGTCCTTGGACAAAATGCATAGGCTTAATACGACCTCGGGTGTGCTATCTTTGCTTTCTTTCATGGTCGAAGCTCATTGTACTCCGAATTGCTTGATCGCATCTGCTTCCCGGTGATGTGGATCAGGCTTTGGACTGGAGCCAGCGAAAGGTCCCTCCCATATAGATGCTTACGGAACAGAACTGGTGCCATAATATGGTAATGGTGTAAATAGTGGTACTCCATGACCATAGACCGTTTGCCGGTTGACATTTCTGTCGTTGGGCTGCCGCACAACTGCGAGTTTCCCCCACACGAGCAGTCATGTGGGCGAATACAGTGAGCACGGTCGTACAGAGTCTCAGACCAGCAACTTTGGTGGCACGCGCTGCGCAGAGCTTCCCCACATTGATGCAGAAGCCTCCAGTTCTGAGGTGGCTCCTATTACAAGTTGCCGTGTGCCATGTGGGGGGCCTTCCACTGTGAAGCTTCGGCCTGGCCAATACATGTGCGAATGAGCTGATGGCATTGGTCGAGGATTACGGCAGGAGCGTAGAGTCGGCTTCCTTTGGGGAAACTGTCACATTGTCTGACGACAGAATCTTCAAGCTGAGAACGGACCATGTCGACACACAGCTCGCCCTCCTCGCCGGCCGACACGGTCGCCTTTGTCGGTAAGGACGTGGGCGAGCTCAAGGCCGCGATGGATGTCGACTTTGCTGACATCACTGCCAGGCCTCGGTGTGATGGGCTACCCCATGGCAATGAACCTTGTCAAAGGACTCGGCCCAAAAAAGTCGTTCCTGATCTGTGATGTAAATGAGGACTCCCTTGAGCGTTTCCAGACAGAATCGAAAGGCAGAGCATCCGTGACGATCGTGGCGAATGGCTTCGAGGCTGCACGAGCTGCGGTAGGTGCCTGGCGGCGTGCATTGGGGCAGAAGCCGGCACTGACGCTCCTAGAATACAATCATTACCATGCTGCCGAGCCCGGCCGCAGTCAGATCTGTTTATCTTGATGACGACAATGGTATATTGGCCGGCGCCATCGCAGCCAGCCAGCATCGTGATCCTGAAACAAAACTGATCATGGAGTGCGGAACCATCGAGAACGCTACCATCAATGCCGTTGCCAAGGCCTCCGAGGAGCTTTCCGCCAACAGACTTTCCAACACGCTGACTTTTGTCGACGCCCCAGTTTCGGGTGGTCCGATGGGTGCCATAGCAGGCAGTCTGACTTTCATGGTTGGATGTCCGTCCGCCACCTCGGAACGTGTCTTCCCCATGGTCAAGTCGTACCTGCAACACATGGGCAACGCAGATGGCATCTTTCTGTGCGGTGGCGTTGGCGCAGGTACAGCCTTCAAAGTAATCAACAACTATTTGAGCGCCATCACGTCGCTGGCAGCATCGGAAGCGCTCAACATTGGCGTCAAGGCTGGACTGGATCCGAAGCTGCTGACGGACGTGATGAATGCAAGTAGCGGACAGTGCTGGGTAACAAGCAAAAGCAATCCCGTTCCGGGCGTCCAGCCCAATGTGCCCAGCACGAATGGGTATGAAGGCGGGTTCAGGATAGAGCTGTGCTCCAAAGTGCTGAGCATGGGCACAAAGCTTGCAAACGAAGTCGGCGCGAGGACAATCCTTGATGGCCCGACGCAAACCGCCTTCGAAGAAGTGATGAAAGATGAGAGATACAGGGGGAAGGACGCGAGAGTCGTGTATAAGTGGCTGAACGAGAGTGACACGGTCGACAGATGAGTACATGTACATGTAGCGTAGCCACAGGCCATCGAGAGTCGACCGTGGCAACTAGGATGTGCTCAGCTCACCTCAAGCCGAGATTCTATCCTTCGTTCTCAGAGAACAGCTTGAAGATTGAACGAAAGTCATTTCCTCTGCATTTAGGATGCCCGGCCGCACGCTCGTAGAACTCCGACACAACGCTGCCAAGAACCAATTTGGCTCCAACCTTGTCACCATGACTCAAAGCCATGTCCAGTACGCCCTTGGCCATTTCCGTGGTGAAACCGCCCTCAAAGTCCCGCGAAGCCGAGGCAAGACTTGACACTCCACGCACAGGATTCTGCTCGCCGCAGTTGTAGCAAGCTCCGGTGGAAACCTTGATGACTTCGGCCAACGTGGTCGGGTCCAAACCTGACCGCAGGCCCAGCGTCATTGCCTCGCAGGTCCCAAGCATTGTGATACACGACAGGTAGTTGTTGATTTGCTTCGTGGCCAGACCCGCGCTCACGTCGCCGCAATGGAAGATCTTTTGCGGCTTGCCCAGGAAGCAGAGAATGGGTTTGACGCGATTGAACAGCTCGGAAGACTCACATCCGACCATTACAGACAGCGTGCCTGTGTCGGCGCCGTGCACTCCACCGGACACGGGTGCGTCAATGAAGTCGCAGTGTTGATGTGTCTTAACATCGGCGGCCAAACGAAGAGACGTCTCAATGTCTATCGTCGAGCATTCGAGGAACAGCTTCTTCTTTAGATAAGAAGCATTCGCTGACAGCATGCCCGTTTGGGGGTCAGTGAAGACGGACATAACATGTGGTCCAGCAGGCAGCATAGTGATAACGACGTCCTACCACACCTGTTAGACCGGAGGTTGGAAGGCAGTATTGCTGACTTACACTCTGCTCTACCACCGCCTTTGGGTTCGAGGCGACGGATACTGGACCAGGAGCTTGTGCCAGCCATTTGATCAGCCTCTCGTCGGAAATTTCGCAGACACACAAGGTGGCCAATGCTGGGATTTTGGTCCTTAGGTTATTGGCCATGCCCCAGCCCATAACACCCAGGCCAATGAAGCCATAGCGCAGGGGAATTTCCACAGACATTTGCTCCTTGGACCCCATGTCATTTATATCTCACTTTGAGTTTTCCTTGTTGAGTGCTCCGGGACGAATCGGAGGGAGTGAGTCGTCTCAAATGCCCGATGTGAGGGTGGTCAGGACTCAACAGGGTGGACGCTGGATACTCAACGCATGTTCTGCCACGTTGATCACAAGGGACGGGAAAGATTATTCAGCAATTCTCCACGATGTGACAGGTACTGTAAGATAAAGTACAGTAAATATTGGTTAGCAAAGGGTATAGATCTAGGGAGAGTGTGGTGGTCTTGATGCGGTCCTTCGGCGACAAGGCTGGCGTCTCCTCCTGCCGACCTTGGCCATCTTCCCCACACTCCGGAGTCCGGAGCGTCACGGACGGCCGTCCCCAAGCAATGATGTGGGGGCTTTCAGCTAGAACCATATGAGCCTGTTACCCTCTGCAGCACGTCGACCGGGCCGATGGCTTCATGCCGCCTCCAAAATGTCTGCGTAAATGTCCAAAGAATCACCAATTACCTCGACAATGGCCCAGGTCTGGGCCCCCTTGAACACTGCCGCCCATACCCTCAATACTCCCACATTGAGTTGCTTTGCCAGTTGCGACAAATCCAGCTGCTCGTCGGATGGCACTCGAAACTCTGTTTCGTCCAGAACAGTCCTTACGAGCGACAGTATTCGCATCTCGGCGTCGGAGATGGCGGGGCTGGGGTCCGCTCCGAGCGTCGAGATGGCTTCGAGCCACTTGCCAAGCAACAAGGCACACTCCAGCGAGCATAGCGAGTGCTGTATGGACCAGATGAACGTCTGCGTCTTGGCCACAAGACGGATCCCGATCCTGATGGGTATACTTAGAGCATGCGAAGAGTGAAGCAGCGCTCGGATCAGTTTCGGGCTCCGCTTGATCGCGGGCGTATCTCTCAGAGCATGCGCTATTTGCAGCGGATCGCGCGTGCCCAATGCTCGGCCAGGCCCGGTGTCCATGTTGAGGCGGATGTAAGCCAGGCGAAGGAGAGCCGTCGAGTTGAAAGCAACAGGGCCATTTGGGTCCAAGGGATTGAGGGACGATTCGGGACTGCGCTTCCAGCTAGACTGCCAATTGCGCACTGCTTGGTCCAGAGGCCTCAGCTCTTCTACAGTGAGGTCAGGCGAGTCAGAGCGACACCTAGCCGATTGTCGCACGAAGAAGATGTGCTGAAATATGGCGTGGATCAGTACATAGTTCCCCAGTGCCGAATGGCTTTGCAGGGTGTCGCTGCTGTTGCTTGAGAACAATCGGCGCAGTGAGTCCTGAAACTCTAGGGGCTGCTTGTTGACTCGCCTCGACTCCTCTCTCCATTGGGTCTCTGTAGACGCCTTGAACAGAGCAGTCGCACATGGAAGTGGCATGTGCAACTCAGAGTTCAGTATCAGAGGAGGTATGTCATAGACGATGCAATGGAGATTGAAGAAGCAAAAGACGGTGTACTTGGTCCGCAGATCAGACTCAAAACGGGCACATTCCGCCCACGAGCCTGGACGGTCACCCCAAGGGGCCAAGCTCAGCCCGTCCTCCCGAACTATGCTGGCAAGAATGCTCTGTATTGCCAGTGCCTCTCGTAGTATCTCTTTATGCTTGGCCCACGTCGCCATTGCCATGAGGATTAGAAGCGCCTGCGCTGATTGCAACATGTGCTCCTTCGGGGACGTTGCGTCATTGTGTTCATTCCTTTCCGACGGGAGCCCAAGTGGCCCATTCAACGTATAGCTTGACCTTGGCTCTTGCTGGCCGCGAGTACTGGGAGCACTGGAGACGCCAGAGGAAGAAGACATCGTGCTGCGCCAGTGACCGCGTCCCACTTCGGCGACCCGTGCGTCGCGTCGCCGAATGCGCTCCGTAGCAATGGCCCTGGCGGCATGGAATAGTCCCAACCCTTCGTCGGCCTCGAAACAATATTGCGCTCCAACGGCGGCCATTGCAAGGATAAGTTCAACGGAACATGTTGTAACGCTCATTGAGGGAACGTGGAGGAACGGCAGGTGCTCGTGGAAGCCGTCGATGTAGCCGCGCACGTAGCGCGCCAGTGTCAGGCGTGTTGGAAGTCGAAAGCCCTGTAACACAGCATCGAACTCCGAGACGGCCAGCTGCAGTAGCTGTCTGTCTCCATTCGACAAGTCCGAGAGCCGTTTCGAATACCGTGCGTGATTGTGTCCGTCTACGGCGTCAAGGCAAGGGCTCGGGTGCCGACAGCTTACGCGCGGCTCCTCTGGCTGCAAAGATGGCAGTCTCGATCCCAGTCGTGAAAACGAATCAGGCTCCTCGATAATGCCCTCGTGTCGCTCGTGAGCGATTGCTTGGCGTCCAATGTCCAGCTCATCGCGTGCTTCGCCGCAGTCTGGTGGTGAAAAGAATGGCAGCGGCTGTTCCGTTGTGAGGAGCGACGAGAAATAGAAGGATGGCAACGGCGCAGTTTCAAGGAAATTGGCAAAGCTGTTAAACGTGTAAAAGTCCATATCTGTCTCGTCCGGCTCGGGTAGGAGATCGGGGTCAATGACCGAGGGCGTGAGCTGAGACACCGGCGCTGGTTGAGCATTCTCGCTGCTGCCTGACTCAACGGAAATGCCGGCCAATGCGGCACTGCCGTGGCGTGTGTCCCCTGTGAAAGCACCATGGCAGTCGTCTTCTCGTGCATCTACTGGGAGAACGTCCATGCGACACTCTTGAGATTGCCCGTCAAGGGTGTGGACGGCGGCGTCGTTGACTCCCATCGGTGGAGGCTGGAAGTCGGTGGTAGGGCTCGCAGCGGTCGTCGCTAGCACAGGCTCCGAGAATGGGCCACTATCAAGAGGGCTCTCGCTTGGTGGTAGGTCACGACCGGTGCTGCTCTTGTTGTGAGATAATCGCCCATGGCGAATCAACAAGTCACTGCGAGGACAATCGCGATTGTCAACAGGCCTGTTCGACTTGTATGTCAGAGTTGCCTCACCTTCTTGTAAACCGAGAGGGGCAGATTGCACACGCAAATGGCCTCTCTTGTGTATCTGTAGAGCGTTCAGCTGGCTGGGCAGTGTGACTTGGTGTGACGCAGCCGTCGCGGCAGGGCAAACGCACGCGTTCTTTGGTGGCGTTGGAGGTGTTCCAGTCGGCCGAAATGCTTCTGACAGAGCTCGCAGTGGAAGCGCTTCGGAGTCTTGCGCCGGTGATGCGTCCTACCATTGCCAGCGACGGCGTGAATGGAGTCGCTCGAACGCATTTCTACACATTACTGATGCAGCTTGCACGATGCACGAGTGACGAGACCAGCATCCCGCGGGGCGACGAAAGATCGTTGGCGACGCGACATCCAAGCAAAGTTACGACCGTGCGGAAACTCTTGGGCGTGCCCCGGCCCCTCGCCTTGGATGGTTTGGCGCTGGATCCCTGAATGCTCATAGGCTGCTCCGGGGTTTACTCCGCAGCCGACGTGACAGTGTCGACTGTCGAGATGGCGGTCGCGACTTGCTTCCAACAGGTAGCATGAGGGCAGCAGCACCCTTTGGGCAGTTGCGAGCGACTGGGTCGGCCGCCATGCTATGGAATTACGTGTGCTCTCACTCTTGCGGGACTGTGCCTCATTGTGCCGTCAGTGGATTCATGGTATATGATCATGATCACCGCCCCTAGGCTCAAGGGCCCAAGGCGACAGAGCTGTGCCAGCGCCAATCTGCTCAAGCTTCAGTTCATCCTCGCCCCCCCTTCAGTTCCCTCCACCTTGGCATCCAGCTCCCTCTGCATCTCGCCCTTCTCAGCCATATCGTCGAGGACCTTTTCCGCCGTTTTCATGGCCTCAACACCCGCCGGCACGCCGCAATAAGTGGTGCAGTGCAGGATGGCCTCCCGGATTTCCAGCTCAGTGAGCCCATTGTTCCTCGCGCCCCGAATATGCACCGCGAGCTCCGGAGTGCGGTTCAAAGCCATGAGCATGCCGATGTTGAGGAGGCTGCGCTGCTTCTTCTCCAGGCCAGGACGGGTCCAAGCGTATCCCCAGCACCACTCAGTGACGAGCTCCTGGCCAGGGCGAGAAAACTCGGTGGAGCCATTTGCGAGCGCGCGGTCAACATATGAGTCGCCGACGACCGAGCGGCGCATCTTGAGGCCTTCTTCAAATAGCCTCCGATGCAGCTCGTCCAAGCCCTTGTCGGTACTCATCGTGACAATGGATAGATTCGGGCTGAGACATGCACGATTGGACCTCTCCTCAGCAGTATCGTCTGACTGTACTTAACCTCGACATAAAAAATGAAGGACCAAGATTGATGTTTGGAGGTGTGTACTCTACAGTACTCGAATTGACTCTGATTGCGATCATCCGGCCATGTTGAAAGCAGCACACTGTCCCAGCCTTTGAGGGGTAAGAATTGCCCCTTGTTCATCAATGTGGGGGTTGAGACCAACGAATTTCGCCCTCTGTCCACGGTTTCCTTCCCCACAGGCGACCCAGACCAGAGGCCGTGGTCAACCTGAGGGCCACTCGGGCAGTCCAGGTGTTGTTGGCCGTGGTTCAATATTACGCACCGCCAAGGATGGAAGCGAGGCATCGACATGAATCAGCGACGCTGCGACAGGCGCGTCAGTAACTCGTTGGTCGCTGCCAGGCTCACCAACAATTGTTCGCGTCCATGTCATGTTATTAAGGGCGTTTCCTACGAGCGTCAGTCCTGAAGCTTAATCTCTTCCCCCCCCGGACCGCAATTCTCATTCCACGTTTTGTATCATCAACAGCTCATTCTCGTTAGCTCGCGATGGCGTCTGAGGAGTTCGACGAGAAGCCGTCGCAGCTTGTGGCCGACCTTGGGCAACGGGAAAACCGTGTGTCAGAGGACCCCGAGCGAGTCAAGCGGGAGAAAGCACTGGTCCGCAAGCTGGACTTGTTCATAGCCCCGGTTATGATGTTGCTCATGCTCATCAGTTACCTCGATCGAAGCAACATTGGCTTTGCAGCGACCCAAGGCATGACCCACGACATCAATCTCAAGGGATCTCAACTTAACGTGTGTGCCACTAAATCGGTATTCATCTCCATGGGCTAACTAGGAGTCTCTTCAAAGACCGCCGTATCCGTCTTTTACATTTTTTATGTTCTTGCGGAATTTCCGGCCGCGATTCTTGTCAAGCGACTCCAGTTCAACCGAGTGATTCCCATAATCACCTTCCTATGGGGCATTGTTTGTCTCAGCACGGGGTTTGTCCGCTCGTTTGGTCCTCTCATGGTCACTCGTGTTCTGCTTGGGCTCTTTGAAGGCTGTTTGTTCCCCTCTCTCACACTGTTCATGTGCAACTGGTACAAACGTGAGGAACTGGGGTTCCGAATTGCTGTCCTATTCAGTACGTCCTCGTCTTATCCATGAAGATTTGGATACGCGCTCATGTCTTGTAGTTGCTACCGCCTTGTCTGGCGCGTTTGGCGGGCTCTTGGCATGGGCAATGCTTCACATGGATGGAGTTGCAAACATGGCCGGCTGGCGGTGGTAAGTCTTGGCCCAACCCTTTCAAGAGCTGCGAAGTAGCTTCTTGCTCCGTTGTAACCTGACCAATTTTCAGGCTCTATATACTCGAGGGCCTCATTACCGTGGCCTGGTCAGCGTGCTGTTTCTACCTCGTCCCAAAGGACTACGAAACTGCGTACTTTCTCAACGACGAAGACAAGGCCCTAATGAGGCAGCGGGCCGAAGAAATGGAGGCATATAGTGGCAGTTCGGGGCACTATACCATGCATGACATCAAGTTGGCCGCTTCAGATGTCAAGAGCTGGATTCACGGCTGCGTTCAGATAGCCGTTGTGACGATCCTTTATGGTATGAGACGTAGCCACGTCTCATGTTTTCTCGACGAAAAAGCTGCTGACAAGTGCGATTGCAGGATTCGGTACCTTCCTCCCCATCATCATCAAAGACGGATTCAAGTTCACCACGGTTCAAGCCCAATATCTGGTCATCCCAGTCAACCTTTGGGGTGCGGTCGTCTACGCCGTGGGCGCGATCCTGTCCGACAAGTTCACTTCGCGTTTTCTGCCGCTTATCATCTGCGCCCCGATTGGCATTGCGGGCTACGCGATCCTGCTCGCCCCTGTGTCCGCATCAGTTCACTACTTCGGAACGTTCCTGGTCGCCACGGCCTGCTTCTTGTGCACTGGTGGAAACATGTGAGAAGCTCGACTTGGCTCAACGACATATTTTAAAGAGGCATCAGTCGTGCTAACACTCTCACAGTACATGGATCTCGGCCAACTGCGCCCCAGATGGCAAGCGTGCTGCCAGTATCGGTATTCTCCTGACTTTAACCAATATTGGTGGAATTGTGTCTGGGCAAATTTACCAGTCAGGCGCCGGCCCCAAGTACATCCTCGGACACTCTTGGTCATTGGGGTGCCTGGCCTTTGCTTGGATAAATTGGTGGTTCATCAGAGCACTATACAGGAGGCGCGAAGCCGCAAAGAATAGGCTCCTGGCTGAAGACGCCGTCGACTCTTCGGAGGAGTTTACGGACCGATCGCCAGATTTCAGGTACCAAATTTAGATTTGACTGGTACTCTTGGACCTTTGAGAGGCCTGGCAGTTACTCAAAAGGCCCCCTTTGTCCCAATGAATTAGCTTCCCGGCGGACATTGTCGGGGATGTGCCACAAGCGCTGGGCATCCAGTTTTCTTTCTATGCCTCTCATCATGCAGGACGGTTATGTTTGGTTGATCATAACCGCGTACATTTACCTACACCCCGTGTGTATACCTAAAGAGTTTGGGACCACCCCTGGAGTAAAACAGTGCATCTTGACGATGTCTCGGACGTTTCATTACATTTACTTCATTATAAAAATTGTAAATGAAACAACGGTGTCAACTATCACCGGCACTGAAAGCCAGGGGAGATCTTCTGGGCCCGGACGATGGCAACAGGGCCTTCTGGGACACTCTCCTACCTGGTACAAGTCCCATAGGGATTCTGCTCACAGAAAGTCGTGGTAAGAGCCGCGACGCTCACCTTCCTCGCCAACATGCGGGCTCTCTGCTCTGACAACCGAGGCCTCACCAAGGAAAGCTCTTTCAAACGACCATACCACCAATTTTCGGCGGCAGCGCAGGCTCTCGGCCAAGTAAGGGTATCCTTGGTCTGCGCGTCAATGGACTCGGACCATATAGACAGCGAACCACCAAGCACATTCTTCGCTTCCTTTTTGGAAAGCCCTTGGAGGGAGTCATACTTGTAAATGAGCGGCCAGGGGCTCATGGGGTGGCACCAGTCGAGATAAGGGGAAGACGCCTCGTCTACCCAGGCGCCGCGTCCGCAGTCAAGGTACTACGTCCATCAGTATTTCTCCACGCCATGATTGCAGAAAACGTACGTAAACTTTGTAGTTCGAATCAATGACCTTGTACCCCGCCTTGGCGTACTTCTTGACCGACGCGGGCCCCTTCCACACCTGCAGAAGAACGTCCTCGCTGAGCTTTGCTCCCCATTCGCTAACCATCTCCTCCCACGACATGGGGATAAGGCCGTGCTTGTGGACCGCGCCATGTGCGTGGTCTAAGAAGTCCTGTAGCAATGGTCTTAGTGTTCCCATACTGGCCGTTTTTATCTTCGGGTCAAGTTCTGAGTTCTTTGCATAATATTCGTCGCCGCCGGTATGGAAGTATGCCGCGTATGGTTTTAGCCGCGGTAGCAAGTCGTCGAAGAGGGTATCGAGAAATTCATAAGTCGCATTGTTACCAAGGCGAAGGGCACCACATGGTGGTTCAGAGCAGTACGTGCCCCATGGCGTGGCCTCAACGGCTACTCCAACGTCAGGATATGCCTTGCCGGCTATCTGGTGGCTTGGCATATCGATTTCGAGAATAACCTGAACGCCTCTAGCTTTTCCATACTCAAGGACAGCGGTAACGTCGTCGGGGGAATACGTTAGACCGGGGGCGTAGCGGCCTACTTCTGCGAGCCTAGGCAGTGCGGGGATCTCTAGCGGCCATGATTGCGTTTCTGTGATGTGCCAGTGAAAAACGTTCATTTTGTTCATGGCCATCCCATCGATAGTGCGTTTAATGTCTTCGACAGGATAAAAGTTGCGCCCGGTATCTAGCATTATCCCGCGGTATGGGAACCTTGGTTCGTCCTGGATTGAGATGGGTGCTAGCTTCGTGTACCACTTTGATCCAGAGCTATGCTGAGAGAATAACTGCGTGAATGTCTCTAGGCCGTGGAGGACCCCGATGTGAGAATTAGCTTTGATCGTTGCTTCGCCGGATGCGCTGAGGCTTAGAGAGTAAGACTCATCTATAGAGCCTATCACTGGGTTGGCATCGTCGGTGTCGTTTGTTTGCGTAATATGTAGTGTGCTGGCGGTGCCGTCGCCGCTGTCGAGGCTGGGCTCCCAGTTTGAATCGGGCCTATTGAGCATCCATGGTACAAGTCCATGGTCGAAGATGGTCGTCATGGCGCGGGGAATAGCGTTTTCAACAATTCGCGATCTTATTCTGGGCGTGGTGTTGTTGGACAATATGACTGGGTTGTTGCCCGAGTTCCAGGCCACTGATTCTCCATTGTACGTGACTTTGATGTTCTTGGCGAGGAAGAGAGTCTTGTTGCCCGTCGACATTTCTCTTGGCATTGGCCACACGGCGCACACGGGCTGGAGAGCGAGGGCCGCAAAGGTGATGAATGCCTTCAAAGACATGCTTGCAAAGATCCAGTAAAGTCCCGAATTGTCTCAAGTCAGACGGCACTGGTAGCTGAAGGATGCTGATCGCTCTTATATTCCAGTACGCTATGACAGGTTATACATCACGACCGCGACCCCGTTGCATCAGGTACGGGCCGTAATCTTGGCGATCTCCGGCTCGACGCCTGTCCATGGCTTTGTTCTGGACATGCACGCGAGCCTCCATTATGGGGTCTCAGGGACATGAAGGGGGTCTGATAACATTACGGGGGCAGCCAGACTGGCTGTAGCACTGTGGCGCCACTGAATCCCATCGTGGATGCACAACACCGCCAATTGACATCTTTCAGCGTACCGTATAGCGATGTGAGTCAGGACCCCGCCATCTGGTATTGATGATAACTAATGTGCCATCAAGAGGGTAAAACGAGGCCACACGGGCTCACCGGGCTTAAGCTTGCGGGGTCTCCGGGGCCCACGGGGCGAGCGGCTGCGCCTCAGGGGACCGGGCGAACACACGGAACCCTTGCCCCTGACACACGGGGAACTGTGTTTCTTTGTGCCGACGGCTCGGGTCTTCGGTTTTCAAGGAGCTGACCTCTTTGCTTCAGACATACAGAACTTATATCCTGATCATAGATCGGCCACAAGGAGGTGAGGTATTGACACTGGCACCCTCCCAGTTGCGGCTTTGGCGGGCGATCTTGCCGGGCGGCCCGGTTGGAAGATGGGCGTGAACACAAGCCATCTTAGCGTCTTTTGCAATGTACAAGCCATGATGAAAGTCGATACAACAAGGCGCGTCTGCCGTACATGTAATGCCGGGTGGGAAAATTTTGCAAATCGTGTTCCCAGTGCAGGCGTAGGGTTGAACTGTGAATTGAAGCCATGTCCTGCGTTGTTGCAAGTGCTGGCCTCGAGGGACACGCCAACCAATCCATGTCCCAGTGCCACTTTGGTAACGCAGTGTCAGCTATATCGAGGATGCAGGTGCCACACGATACGCCTCTATTCGGGGGAAACACCACGGCTACAAATATCAAGGGATCTAAGTCAATCACCACAGCCGTTACACGAGAGCCAAGAAAAATCAGAACTAGGTCTTTGAGATAAACAGAGACGAGATGTAATGGGTGTTTGCTCGCATAGCACAGAGGCCACCTTTGACCGAAATACACAAGGCAGGCAAACAAGTTCTGGATGCAACCCTCCAATCCATCCACGGAGTCCGATGCATGCATGCCCCGCCTGTAACAGCATTTGAATTCCTTGATACGGGCCTGGTAAACTGTACATGCACTGGGAGGTGTTGGGGCTATAGGCCGTTCGGTCCGCCACATGTTCATGCAGTATAGCCACCGGTCCACAATGCGCGGCGCAACCCTTCATCCATCGAGCAGAAAAGGAGGCTCTCACAGTACCTACGTCCTCGTGTTCCATAATTGATCAACTTACGGCAGTGGACACTGGAGGCGATAAAGGGCCTAAGCGCGGGTCTCCCCGAACCCAAATAAGCGGCCCGTTTCAGGTATGGACATTGAGTCTTATCTTGATCGGTCTGGCTGCCGTTGGCAATGACCAGACTGTGGCTCCCAATTAATACTGTTAATATATTACGCCGTGACATCTACCCAATGACGAATTATCGTAGGGTGATGTGGGGGACTCACGACATCTCAGGGGGACTTAACCACCCCCACATTCGGGAGCATGTCCGTGCCATGTGGAGAGATGCCAAAGGTGGGCTGAGACTAATAGGGGCCAGGACACCCAGCAAATCATCCATGCCCCTGGGTAAATAGGGGACAGCGTGGAAGGGCTTGTTATACACACCCATAGTCGGGTCTGTAGAGCTGTAGCATACCTGACCAATATACAGTAAGGAAGTTGTTGCAGGGTCTCGGGTTGATAGCTAGCAGTAGAAACCACACTGGTCGAGCTCTCTCACTTCTGAGTCACCGTCTTTCTGGGTGCCTATCGCGCCGTTCCTGCAGTCGCGTTGTGAGCTTCATGAAGCGCCGAAAAAGCGCTGACGGTTCTTCTCATCGCGTTCCCACTCAACGTCATGAGCTAAAATGACCTCGACGCCTTCATCCTTCAAAGATCGAATGCGGCTCAAAGTTGCCTCCGTTTGAGTGCGGTCTTCGTGAATACAGCACATGTGTCCGTGTGCATCTCGCCACTCGCCGATTTCTCTCTCTTTGCGGAGGATGCGCCGATCATGGCAGGCATCCCCAGCAAGATAGACCCACTTGCGGTCGACATCACTACTCTCCGTCCGGGCAAGAAGGTTGATGTGCCCGCGAAGATGGCCCGGTGCGTGAACTATGTACAAGCTACCGTCCCGGAACAGGTCAATTGTCCAGGGGAGATGGCCAAATGCCCGCCACGGTCCGAGGAGGTTGACCTCGCGGTCTTCACCCAGATGTTCAGAGCTGCTTTCAGCGTCAGGGCTTGGAAGCTCAATTGTTCTTGAACGATCGAGTAGGTCTGCCTCAAAGAATGAGTGGCCGCCTCTGAGGTTGGCCGAGTTTCCAGAAAGCAAGTCCAATGAACCACTGCCGACCACGAATTTGCTGCGGACAAAGTCTCGGGGCTCGCCAATGTGGTCCCAGTGTACCTATTTGTGACGTTAGAACTCCGCGTTTTCGGAGTGTAGCTATGCTCGTGTCTTATCAGGTTACCCACATGAGAGTAAATCACGTAGTCTATGTCATCCGCCGATAGCCCGCCTTTCCGCAAGCTCTTGACGACATCAGGGTCAGTTGTCATTGGCTGACGAGTCTGGATATGTCGTTGAATAGGCGCCGCATAGCGATCCACGTCCCTTCGCAACCCGAGATCAAACACAATTCGCGTCGTCTTGTTGGTGCCCGGACGTGTGTGCTGGATCAGAAAGCAAAGTGATGGAACTGTTTTCCTCGCTCCTTCGGCACAGGGACTGACGAACTGCTCTTCTGGGATCGTCAAGTGGCCTGCTGAGAGAGCGTGGACATGCACGGTTCCACCCGTTTCGGCCACAGATGGACCAAATCGGGTAGGAAAGGGAGAAAGCGACGATGAAGGCATCGTGGTCGCTATACCACGCAGCTCGTTGGGGGGGATTGCAAATACTTCCACAGTGGTATATGTTTCCAAGGGAATGATAGACTTCTGGGTTTTGCGCAGAATGAATACGAAGTGCGCCCGGAACACAGGACTGGAACATGCAGACCCCCGCACGAGAGTCCGTACGTTATGCCCTACCCCCCCACATACCATGTCACCCAAAGCATCATTAGCATCATGGAAGAGCACCGCTCTAGTCATGAAAGTCTGGGTTCAACATTGCCATCTTGACATTAGTCGAAAATGTAGGAAGATAATCGCTTTCTCGCCTCCGTGGCGTCCCACTGGACCAGGACCCGGTCCTTCGACTCATCCATCTTCGTTTTAACCAGAGGCTCCATCGCTGCCCGCTCCTCTTTGTTCAGAAGTTGGACTCTCGTCTTCCACAGTTGATCTGTGGAAATGTCTGCTCTTCGCTCGCCAAAAAATCTCTGGTCCAGGTATTTCCAGTAGATGGTATCAAAGGCCCAGCTCTTTCGGGCAGCATAGTTCAACCAGAAACGGCCCGTCGTCCAGCTCTCTCGCATGTACGATGAGAGTGTCAAAGCACCAAAGTCGGCCTCCTTCTCTGTCTCCTCCATGGCTGACAGCCAGGTCTCCAGTCTCTTTTCGTAGATGCTTGTCCAATCGTCAATGCCATCATCCCACATCTCCGGGACATCTAGTAGCAACCACCATGGTGGGTCGAGAATAAACTGTGTTGGCCCGACATAAGCGAATTCCCAGTCAATGGCACCCAGCACTTGGTCATCCTCGTCAACAACGATATTGGCTGGCCTGAAGTCATCAGACCACAGGCGGAATGCGCCCGCACAGTTCGGAGCCGGCAAAGTACCACCAGCCTCTCTGCGGTTCGCCGACCAGTCATCCTCGGCAAACCCAAACGTTGACAGTCGGCCTTCCTTGGCTAGCCTTCGAAATAGTTGACGAGCGACGTATTTTGTCCTGCAGTCATCCTCTGATGACATCATATCATTGTGCTGGAACAGAAGAGTTGCAATCTGCATTTCAGCCAACACGGTGTACCATTCATCTGCTGTCTGGTATGTGGTGCCCTTGGCGGGGAAGATTGACTTTGGGATGTTGGAAAGTTGAACCATGTTGTTCATGTTTAGGGTCATAGGTCGCTGCATCACCTCAAAACAGCCCGGGCTTGTTTCGACGAGGCTCCCAATGCGTGGAAATTCCGCTTCTGCAAGATGAATCAGACATCGTGCCATTTTAGCGTAATGCACCATCAACTCGCCCTCAGAGATGTCGGGTCGCAGGACAGGAGTGTCGTTGGGGTCATCCCTGGGGGCCTCCAGAACCTGACCCATGACCCGTCGCGACCCGAGATCCTGGATGATAACGAATGGCCCGATGGCGGGGTCAATGCCGTAGCTGAAATGTTTAGGAATCGGGAGTCGGGTGCATTGCCTGATGCATGACGCTGTCGCGGCCTCCACAAGGGTCTTTTCCTCCGGAAACACTGCTTGGTTGGGACAGGGCAAGCGGATGAGAACATTGGCAGGCAGACCGTCAATGCGCATGGGATACAGTACATTGAATCCGCCGATAATCAGTGGAGTGAGCAAGGTCGCCGGTTTGGCGAACATCGCCTCGACGAAGGATTCGATCTTTCGACACATGGTGGATGATCGGACTTGTTTGATCGCCTCCTCCCAGAGCTCGTCGCTGCGATCCCACGCGAGATTGTCAGAGTCCTGTCGAGCCTCCATCAATGGAATGTCTGGCGACAATAGACGATATCAACAAGGGACCCTCACGCAACTGGCGGCTGATCAATAGGTACGAAAAGATCAATGGAAGCCGACAACGGGCGTGGATAACCAACGCTGGAGCTTCAGAGACTGCCTGAGCGGCGCTAGCTCCAGGGGCTGGAGCATGGAACCCGAACCGCGGGGCGGTAGCGGGTACAGGTGACTCGGTGCGTCAAAGGGTTCACCGACAGCTGGAGCCCCCAGAACTGGAAGTTTTGGGTCTGTTAGCAAGCAGCGCGAAACCGCTATGCTTTATTGTTCTCTCAACTCAGGTCAAGATCATCACCGCTTTTGGCGACATGACTGCTAAAGGCTGTACCTGAAGCTGGCTAAAGCGATCACTGGCAACAATGTCAAGGCCCATGTTGAATGGGCTCGTCGGATCCAAGGTCCACGAAAAGCGCACAGCCATGGCCAGCGCAGGTACCTGATGATCGGTAGGCGACCTCCCAAGCAAGAGAATAGAGTTCACGTCCAACCACCGCTGTGACGGTGCGTGAGTACGAATTTTAATCCAGCATCGTTCCTCATTGGCCGCCCGTTGCCTCAGTATGTAGTCGGGTCACAGCTCGTGCCTTTGGAACTAAGAATACCCGTTACCTGTCTGCCTCCGACCCACACACTATTGATGTCGAAGGTATTTGCGATATTCGTCAGCGGATTGCTGTTCAGCAGAACGAGGTCTGCCCGCTTGCCAATGCTGATCGAGCCCCTGTCAGACAACTTGTACAGCTTCGCGGCGCCAGAGGTGGCTGCGCGTAGAACCTCTGCATTGCCCAGCCCAGCGGCCACAAGGTTCTGTATTTCGCAGTGGAGTGTCCGGCCAAATGGGAAGTTGAGGATTCCTGGGAGGCTCCCGACGGCGTCCGTCCCCACTGCCAACGGAACGCCTGCTCGACGAAGGGACGCGACGTTGGCCACAACATTCTCATACGTGTCAGCAGGGGTGAGGCCCAGCAGCGGGCCCAGTGCCGGATTGGCGAATGCGACACGGAAGACTTCCATTGTGGGTGTGACGAACTGGCCCTGCGAGCGGATCAGTGACACCTGCGAGCTGCTCAAGGTTCCGTTTGCCGGGACGTGTTGGATGCCGTCGCACTTGGAGGCGATGGCCTGAGCGTATGCCCCCATGTAGGAGGCGTGTGTGTATGTCGCCTTGCCTCTGCTTCGGACTAACTGTACAATGGTGTTCTGCTGCTGCTGCGTCGGCCCGTTTCCCTCGGCCACGATTTTGTAAAAGTCGGAGCCGTTTCCAAAGACGTAGTCGACATTCAGCCCAAGATCGGCATTGGGCTGGAGAGTCAACTCCGGAGGTACCTGGAAGAACTGCGCATGCAGGCTGTTGGGTCCGACAGCAAACAGTCCAGCTGTGATGTAATCTGCGACGCCGACCTGGCCCTTCAACGACCGGCAGGCGTCGTAGTCGAGGCAAGCCATGTTGACTGCAGTTGTCACACCGTATGCCGTAAGATTGCTCAACGCACCACAGCTCTGCGGGTGCACATGGCTGTCGATGAGACCTGGCAGCAGGTATTTCCCAGTGCCGTCCACTGTTACGATCCCGGGCGGCGCCGCTCCGCCAACAAGTGCAATCTTGGTCCCGCTGACGAGGACGGCCTGGGGTATGCTGAATCCGTTGCCGTCGAACACGCGAACATTCTTGATAGCGAATGTCGTCGAGGGTGGTGTCGTTCCTCCGCCGCAGTCAGTCGGTCCCCGAGTCTGCAATGCTCTCGCCAAGAGATGGGCCCCGCAGCTGTAAGCCGCGTTGAAAAGGCCCGCAGCGGCCAAGAAGGTAGCAAGGGACTTCATGGCGGTGGATCTGAGTCTCGGCAGAAGTGGTTCTCAATGTGTGGAGTGCATGAGATGCGCTTGCTGCCCGGGTTTCCCCAGATCTTACCCCGTGGAGATATCTCGTGTTTATACTTCGCTACCGCAGTTGAGACTCTGGGGTGCATATCTACTGCGCATGGCTGCAGCTTTTGAGATGTGGGGATGCCTTTCTTTGGTGGCATTTGCAAATACTACAAGTCAGTGTTTGAGACAGTCAAGTTTGACAATTCTTGCAGATCGTCGTAATCGTAATACCGAGATGGGTGGGTGTCTTTGGCGGACGTGCCCCTGGGAGCTGAGGAAGCAAGACCCAGTCGAGTGCGAGATCAATAGGCACCACAATGTCGCAGCTTTACGAGACCTACCGTTTCGAGTGCCCTGACTTACTGCCATGGGTAGGAAGTCGGGCAGAAGCTTGGGAAGCGTTGCAAGGGGAGTTGTCGGGTGGCAACTTGCCAGCACTGTGGGGCCAATGACGGAAACCATTCCTTTCACGTTCAAGAATTGTCCTTTTGTCAGTATAGCGAGTTTACACCTAGTCTGTCATGTTGAGGTGCGGATGCTGGAGCCCCCGAGTCTCTGTCCGACTACATGTAATGATGTGGGACTCCTGAAGAGCATCTTGAACATTCAAGTGAGACTGTGACCAGATATCCGAGTAGATGCAGTACCTACAAAGAATAATGCATCTTTATCCCGAACTTCACCATGTTCCATACGTACATCTTTGCTCACTGTTGCAGCCAATGTCTATGATCCTTCATGAACCCCTCGACCGACTCAGGAATGTCTGTTCCAGGCAGATCTTGGTCAACACTAAAGCCCTTCTGCAACAAGAGCCATCCTAGACACTTATAGCTCTCTCTGCCGCCACGAATGTGAAACGACGCGGCAGAAGTGCCAGGAAAGGCGGGTTGAATGGAATCTCTCTCGTAAATGGCCTCCAAGGTAAGCATCCTCCATTCACCATCAACTCGTTCAAGGCGTGACACAAAGCGGGCGTAGGAAGTGCAGTCGTAGTCGATATCATTGTGGCGAAAACGCGCCATAATAGATCCCGTAGATTCTGAGACGGCCTTGTCGCCAATGACATGGATTTCGACCGGGCAGATGGCATGATTGCTGCGCGAGCCCTGCTCGGCCATCTTTTTGGACCCAGTCACAAAACCGCCGATGTTGCCGTTAAACCTGGACTGCATAAGCACTATAATCAGTCTTTCTAAGGTGCCGCCTTACCAGGTGATCTTGATACTCGTCCTGGAAGCGTCTGGGTGGAAGCACTCGCGGAGCTTCTGCCATTGGTTCGTGTCCCTGTAGTACCTTTCCCGCGTGAGCAGGCTGCTGATCTCCCATTCTGTAGCGAACTTCTCTGTTACCGGGCTTAAGACCATCTTAATGAATTCTGTTCCGGCCCTGGGAAGGGTGTGTAGTTTGTGCATTGTCTGGAACACTACATGTATGATGCGACACCATGAGAATGCGGTGGAGCATTCAGGGAAGCCGAGGCGAAACAGTCCTCAATGCAAATACTCGTTTCTGTACCTGCACGGTATGGCTAGTATGGAGTGAAAGTAATATCGTAGATGGTTATTGTGACGTGGTGAAGTCGTCGTTGATGCGATTCTCTGGGGCGGCGCGCTGGTCATTGAGCCTGTCACTGTCCCGCACCGCGATGACCCTCGGACAGACGCAACAGTGGTTGAGCCTGTGGAGCGACACGAGCGGAGAGCACGGAGGCCCACGACTTCGAAAACCGCACCACCATGTCCGAGTTCTCACGCGCCATATCTCCGGTGGTGACTATGTATCCAAGATCCCGCCGCCACCAAGGCGGGGCTTTGCAATGACGGTCCGGCGGTTCGACTCCATCAATCCCGCGAACCTCTGTCGGAGCCGTTTCGGCAACAAAGCAGCCTTCACTTTGAAGCAATCTACTATGCCATAGCGTAGCATATCCCTAGTGAGACTTGCAGGTTTGGTGATAGTTTATGACCCTCCTGAATATTCAGAATCTCACCATGGCCGCCTCTCACGCAGTCGGCGCAGTGTCTACTCCTGGACCTGGGACACACTACATTCGATCCGAGCTCAAAGATCTCAAGATCATCGGCGTTGAGGAGCATGTCGTCTTTCCAGAGATCGCCAAGGCTATCCCGAGTTCCGAAGCTGCCGATCATGCCAAAGCCACACTCGCAAGCATCGTGTCCCATCCCGTACTTTCCTATGCCAAGGGCCGCGCCGCGGATGTCGGCGCGCAACGGCTCAAAGATATGGATGACGGCGGCATCTCCATGCAGATCCTAAGTTTCGGCAGCGCAGTCAATTGCACCCACATGGAGCCAGAGGCCGGTCATGCGCTCGCGCAAAGGATCAATAATGCGCTCAAGGACGCTGTGGACGCCAATCCGACCCGATTCCGAGCATTCGCGGAATTGCCGTTCCAAGAACCTACGCTTGCGATTCGGGAACTCAGACGGTGTGTGAAGGATCTGGGATTCGTTGGTGCGATGATGGCCGGCTCGGTCGGAAGCACAGGCAAATTCCTCGACGGACCAGAATTTGCCGAGCTCCTGTCCGAGTTTGAGGCTCTCGACGTTCCCCTCTATCTTCACCCTGGCATTGCGCCCGGGCCTGTTTCAAAGGCATACTACGATATTGAGGGCAATGCACTGGCTTCTGCGTCCTTGAGCGCGATGGGCTGGGGCTGGCACAGCGAGGTCGCAATCCACATCCTTCGCCTTGCCGTCTCTGGGGTGCTTGAGGCGCATCCGAAGTTGAAGATCGTCATAGGCCACCAAGGTGAGATGCTTCCGATGATGATGCACAGACTCGACGGCGCATTCGACATGCAAGCGTTTGGGCTGAAGCGACCGGTCGGAGAGACGCTTCGAACGCAGGTGTGGATCGCAATATCAGGCCTCTTCTCATTGCCAGTGACGCAAATTGCGATCCAAACATGGGGCGTAGACAGGGTTCTTTTTGCCAACGACTACCCGTATATTGAGACGCAGGGTGTGCCGGGATATGTCAGGGCGATGAATGATCTTGTCGCGCCATCAGACATGCGCAAGATTTTCCAGACGAACAGCGAGAGTCTGTTCAAGATCTTCGCTTAGATGTCGAGCAAAACCCCTCTTAATTGCCATCGGCACTACATGGCACTGCTCTGAGTATTGACAGCCGATCGGGAGCCTGACTTGACATAGAGGCACGGGATGTGGTGGGACCACGGGCAAAGGGTGCCATGCGTTCATGTTACCAAGTCTAGTTATTCTACAGTGTAGCTTCGTGCATGGCGCTCACCGGCCGCTTTGCCTCCTCTTGAGCCGGTACACCAACCCTTCCTGCCTGGCAAACCAGAATGTTTCCACCTTCCATGTCTCTCGGGGAGACGCCCATTCGAGGTCAAAGTTCCGCAGAACCTGCGGCACAAGTTTACCCATTTCCATGATGGAGATGTTCTTGCCAATGCAGGTTCGGGAGCCGTATCCGAACTAGCCATGGATTAGCGCCCACAGCCTTTCCAGATGTCAAGATTGCAAGAGCAGCGCAATGCTCAACGTACCGTCATTAGGTGGCGATCCATATACTTGATGCGCTCGTCGTCCGAGGTCAGCCATCTTTCGGGATTGAACTCTGCCGCATCCTCTCCAAACACCGACTTGTCGTGGTGTATGACAGCAGGATTGATCCCAACGATAGTGCCCGGCCCAAAGCGAACTCCACAAATTTCAGCGCCCCCAGGGGGCACTGTCCGCTCCAACGGAAATGAAACGCCTGGGTTACAGCGCATGGCCTCCTTCATAGCTGCTTGACTACACCCTGTTAGCGGCCGGCAGAGGGACGGATGGGTGCTGCTTACAGGTATGGGAGCTGAAGGCACTCCGCGTAAGTGACATGTTCAGACAGCAGCCCGTCTCGGTCTGCGTCATCCACCTCCCGCTGGGCTTTTTGGTAGCACCTTGGGTCCTTGGCGAGGTAGTAGAAAATGGCACGGAGAGAAATCGCGGTTGTGTCGCTTCCAGCAAGCCTTGTCGAGGTTAGAACTACCGATGGAGCGTCCAGACTTGGTACTCACAAGTTGTTGGCCAGATGGTTCACAATTTCCCGGTCTGGCATCACCTCGCCTTTGGCATTTGTCTGCCTCAGCCATCCCAAAAAGTCGGGCCGGTCCTTCTCTGGTGGGTGTCGATCATATTCCTCGATGCACTCCTCCGTAAACTTCAACATGTCAACATGAGGATCCGCTGTGCCGGCAGAGCGGCAGCTTACCTTGACCACTGTCCGAAGAGGGTCGGGCACTTTTACGATGGGCTGCCAGGCGATGAACTTGGCAAACCACTTGTTTCCCATCAGCCAGGGGTGTATCGACGGGACCTGCCCGATGAGCGCTGCGACTTCGAGTGCCTTTCCGATGTCGTCAATCATGTTGTGCACATCGCGCCGTTGCTCCATGAATCCAAGCCGCCGGTGGAAAGTAATCGCCGCAATGACATCGAATGCGTACCACTGAAGCCACACGCCGAGGTCAATGTCTTGGCCCGCCAGGTCCGCCATGGCTTCCATGAAGATGTCTGTGCAGTCATCTGCAAAAGGCTCCATCGCTTTGATGGACGACATGGAGAACTTTTGCGCGACCGGACGCCGGAGCGCTTGATGTTCGGCCGGGTCTCGAACTGAGAACATGCTCGGCATGGCTTTGTCTTTGTACCACATGTCGAACACTGAATAGAAGCCAGTCTGCAGAGGCCGTCAATCCGTGCTCCTTTCTGCCTCACTCCGCTCCGCACTCACTTTGTAAAACTTGGTTCCGATCGCGTACATCGTAGCGATTGCTTTCGGGTCCGACACTGAAACCACGTTCGGGGCCGTACGGACCACCGTACCGTACTTTCTGTGCAGCATCCTGTAAAAGTCATGGGCACCTCCATTCCTCAGCATCCATGGCCGATAGAGACCAGTCCATCTCGCCGCTTGAGGCCCTGGAAGGGATCCAAGGTCGCTCCGGAAAACGAGTCGAACACGTTGAATGCCGAACCAAACCAATGAGATGACCAGCCCCCAAAAGACGACAGTTGGGCCGGCGTCAAGAATGATCGATGACTTGTTGCCCGCCGAGGCTCCGTGCACGGCCATCATGAGTGTGTTCAGTCACGTTGCCCAGCTCATTTCTAATCTTCTGCGCTTCACGCGCGCTCTTATGGTCCAGGTTACTTTCATCAACCCATGCCCATCTTCTTCTGGGCGTGTGACGAGACTCACAACCATCTCAAGCTCGACATGAATCTTCCCCACATTCTTCAACGCCCCGCGAGCCCCGCGGGGAAGATGGCGGGGAACACAGCATCTGCTTTATGGGCCAGGTTCCACTGAAGGACAGGATGGCATGGCCACTGGGCCAGGCAGCGGCGCCTCCCCGCGAATTTACAGCCTAAATTGACAGCCTGGACATTGATGTTAAGGCAAAGGGCGCCGAGACCCCAGTCTCAAGAGACTGCATTCGAGGCGAAGTCTCTTACACTCATCACCGACGGTCCGACAACTTTTTGCCGGACTGTCTCTGTGGCTGGCGTCTGATCTGCCGCTCAGCCGAGGAGTAGCACAGCCTGCTCCAGCTGGTGCCGGGCCAAAACCTTGGGCCGAGCCGTCGCTCGCGGGGCGCAAAACATGTCTGCCCTGCTCAGCGCCCCTCCCGCCGCGGCCTGAACTGACCGGGATATCGCTGGAAAGGACAGTACAACGCCACGGATCGCTATCTGGAAGGGCCATTTGGTCCTCGAGAGTCGGCGACAGCTTCTCGCATTGCAATGCTGGGAAGCCGACACAGCTCGTGTCCAGCTGAGCTTTGTGGCGTCTTGCAGGCATGCCTCGCAATCAGGTAGCCACTGACGCGGCAGTTGCTACGTCAAGGTTGGCACCCTCTCAACGCCCAGCTGAACAAATGCCACGGGTGGGTGAGCCAGCATTACACCGATTCTTCGCACGGTCTCAGACGGTCCTTTGCCGTTGACGCGACTCGAAGTAGGAACGAACCCTTTGCGCTGAAGAACACAGTCTCGATTGATGTGCAGGATTGCGTCTACGAACCTATCTTGGGAACGGCACTACCCCTCACCCATGGCGAACTAGCCGTAAGAAACACAGTCGATCCAGGCGCGTTGAGAGGAGTTGGAGAGACTTTTGGGGCGTCAACCTCATCGTTCTTGCGAAAAATGTATTATAACAATCCCCAAACACCAGTCCTCACGAAGATCAGATGCATACATTCAATTCGAGTCACCCATATCCCCTCTCGCAATTTCGCATTGGATCTAATGCTGTTGCATTATCCCCCTTTCAAAAGACATCTTGTTACTCATTGACACATCATGCGGACCAGGGACGTTCTTTGGCTCACCTTGCTGAATGGCGTCGCTCGGGGCAGCGACCTTGCGCCAGCTGCTGGCGTTGCTGTCGCGGTGCCGATGGTCACTCCGCCGCCTGCCGGCGTTCCCGCTCGTGTCGAGCGTCAGCGCGTTGACTCTTCCTGTATAAGTTCTATCGTTTCGGAACTGGCTCCACCAACCAGCGGCCTTGACTCCGACTTTCTGAGCTGGGCAAGCAGTGCCTCCACGGAGATCATCTCGCCAGACTGCACAGTCACGGTGCCTGCAAGCATCTCCTCCGAGTACCTAGCCTACCGGTCCACGTTTCAGACCTACCTCTCTACCATCGCATCCAAGGCCAGCAGCATCCGCACCAACTGTGGCGCGGACGACCTATCTCTCACCTTCTCGCAGTTCTGCACGACGAGCCTCACTGTACTTTTCACCAGCGGCGCGGACAAGACAAGCACAACGTCTCTGAGCTCCCTTGATATTCCTGATGAGACAATCGCCGTCGGCCAGAGTTCAACGACCGACGAAACAACGAGTACAGACACTGCGAGTGCAAACACCGCCACGGGTCCCTCGAGGACGACCGCTGCCGGCCCGTCACAGACTACCGCCGTCGGCTCAAAAGAATATCCTAACCTGGCGCTGGTGCTTGCCATAGGTGTTGGGATTGCGTGGAGCCTTGCGTGACGACTTACTCATTAGGAGCAAATTGGATATCACGATTGCCATTGAATGTAGTCCACTTGAAGTCAAATCAATTTTTTCATTGGTGCACAGTCCAGGCATGAAAGGCATGCGCTACAGCGTCAGGTCATCTCGGTGTTGCCTATGATGTTGTTTCATCCCGCTGCTTGGGCCGCCCATTTTGGCAGTGGTCAAGTGCAATCAATCCCTCTGAGAGGACATGCCGCAGACATTTAACCCTGACCAAACACTGTCACCTGTCAATCTTCTCTATGATCGACCCGTCACAGTATGTCTCTTCGTCCAAGTCTTTGACTGAATCCGTTCGTGTCTCCAGGTCGCAGTATCCGTTGCGCTCAGAGACCGATAGATGCTGATGGGCCCAGGTTGTGGGCTATGTGCAAATAGCAACAAGATCGTGATCGTTATAAATGCAAGGTGCGTCATCAAAGCTGCACTTTTTGGGGGTCAAGATATGTTCCATGTTGTCGCGATTCATCGACAATCTTGATGGCACCAGACTTACCGGAAACCTGGGGTCACAGACTTGACTGACTTTCCAATTGTACGTGACCCTCATGCCGTCGGCAGTCGTCTTCAACAGATAGCACTCATTCTTCCTGTGTCTACAACGCTGCAAGTCGTGTCAGCGAATTGATCTGGGCGATTCACACCCGCCGTCGAGAGTTAAGTGAGTTGAGACGTACGCCTTCCCTACCCTCGCCCTTGACGATCGATATGATGGAACAGGTCCAGATAGCGACGATAAGTATCACACTCATCTTGTGATCCAGTGTGTGCTGAGAGCGTTGGGCGCGTAGAACTTTGCGGATGGTGTATCAAGTGCCTGTGGACTGGGAGCGAGTGGTTGGAGGCGGCGGCACGCTTATAAGTAGTCGCTCAGCCCAATGCTTAGCAAAGATTTACTTCGTTCTGTGGTTATCCCTATACCTGTGAAGATATTGACTCATTCTGGGACTTTTGTAGTGTCACAGGTCTGAGCATCATGCATCGCATTTGGCGATGCGAGACGGAGAAGAGAGCACCAGACCGTATAGAAGGCAAAGGCGCTCGCCGGCTAGCAATTTTATCCGTGCGCTGCGTGGCTAACGAGACAGAGGCATGTGAGAAATAGTTTTCATCTGTGAGAATGTTTGGAAACATTTATCGAACTTATTGCAAGTCTATCACGCCCGGGTCGGTTCGTGTGCCCTCGCACAGCTCGATTGCTGGCCTCTATGCAAGGCTGCATTCGGCGCCATTACGTGCCTGCCGGCATTGGGAAATCACGCAGTCAATGATTACTTGCGCGCAGGGTCTAATCTCCGCGAAAAGAACGGCAAGACGACCCCGTGTCGGCAACCGCGCGTGAGGGCCGTCCTGACGCTCAAGGATCATTTGGCGTTGCTCCAGGCGATTGCGCAAAGCCCGCTGTATGGAAGTCGCTAAATTTCACACTCCCCGAACTGAGTTCAAAGGGGTCGGAGCAGGGCGCCCTTCGCCCGACATGTGCCAAGCATAATCGTCGGGTCGCGGAACGAGGCTGCAGTGCAGTGAGCGGCACCACTTTTGAGCTGGCCGGTGCGGGGCGTCACGCCGTCCAAGGTGGAACGTTGACGGGAGGCGCCGTCTCCGAAACCTTTCCCTTGACAAACTCCAAACGCGGTCATCCAGTCATGCAACGATGGGTTCCAAAACTCCGGACGATGAGCGACACATGTATCAGGACCGTGGTATGCGACAGACATTGAATCCTTCTCTCACGCGATCAAGTCCTGTTCCCGAAGCTGACGTCAATCAGACAGTCCGTTCACCGCCAAATCCAGTGGCATTGGCGGCGAGAAGCGAGGCGCGCACCTCTCGAGAGATGGGGACGGCTGTATGGCAGGCGACGGCGGAACGAACGATGATGACGACGACGACGAGGAGGAGGCCGCCAAGGCCACTGCCGCCCTAGATTTTGTCAACGTTGGCTCTGCTGATGCAAGCAAGAAGAAGAAACGCAAGCGACCCAAGAGGAAGAACAAGGCGGCTGTGCTGAAGCAATCGTCGCCTCCCAAGGTTGCTCTCGCTGACCTGTTCCCTTCCGGTGAATATCCCGAGGGCGAAAAGCTGAGCTATGGCTCTGCTTTTGGAACGACAGCCAGGGTAAAAGCCCCCGAATTACGTCGCGGCGGACATCGACCTCTCGAGGACAGCACGGTGCTCAACGACTACCGCAAGGCTGCCGAGGTCCATCGCCAGGTGCGGCAATGGGTCCAGCAAACTGTCAAGCCCGGCCAGACACTCACAGAAATTGCCACCGGGATCGAGGACAGTGTCCGAGCGCTCTTAGGCAATCCTGGCCTTGAGCCTGGTGAAAGCCTCAAAGCGGGGTTGGGATTCCCAACAGGGCTCGCCCTGAACAACTGTGTCGCGCACTACACCCCGAACCCTGGCCAAAAGGACATTGTTCTGCAGCACGAGGATGTGATGAAGGTCGACTTTGGCGTTCACATCAATGGCTGGATTGTGGACAGTGCATTCACCATGTCTTTTGACCCGACGTACGACAATCTCCTCGCTGCCGTTCGCGATGCGACCAACACGGGCATCAAGGTAAGCAGGATCTGTCGGAACACATTGATCAAGCGCTGACCGCACATGCAGAACGCAGGGATTGATGTTCGTATCAGCGACGTCAGTGCCGCCATTCAGGAAGCCATGGAAAGCTACGAGGTCGAGATTCGTGGCAAATTGTTTCCCGTCAAGCCCGTGCGAGACCTCTGTGGACATGACATCAAGCGGTATCGCATCCATGGCGAGAAGACGATTCCGTTTGTCAAAAACTCGAACCAAACCAAGATGGAAGAGGGAGAGGTGTTTGCCATCGAGACATTCGGAAGCACAGGACGTGGCGTCACCAGAACTGGCGTGAGTGTCCCCGATCCCAGCCATGAATGTGTTGTTCTGATCGCTCGTTGGACAGGATGGCATCTACGGGTATGGGCTGAGCTACGATGCCCCGAGGCAGGTAGCCTTACCCCTCAACTCCGCCAATCGCCTCTACAAGACCATCAGGGAGAATTTTGACACCATTGTATTCTGCCGCCGATACCTCGATCGCCTCGGCTGCGACCGTTATCTCGCAGGCGTAAGTTTCCGTCCAGGCGCACGTGAACAGCTTTCCTAATGTCGGCCTAGCTCAATTGTCTGGTGTCGAAGGGCATACTGGAGCCCCATCAGCCGTTGATGGATATTCCTGGGTCGTACTCTGCCCAGTTCGAGCATGTATGTAGCCACACCCCGTGATCCGTAGATCAAACACGCTGACATCTGCAGACAATCCTGCTGCGGGAATCGCACAAAGAGGTCATCAGTCGAGGTGACGACTACTAAGTCCGCGCGACAGTCGCACCCGCAAGACTACATGTGCTGCAAGCATCAATCACCAACCCGAGATACGATGGAACCGGTCAAGCTTGCGACAAATGCGGCTCCAACACCACGTTGTGCAAGATTGGACTTGACAAGACAGCATGACAGATGGTCTCAACACCACGCGAAGCCAATATGGCATGGGCGCTGCAGACACGTTCCGGGCTCAACTCACCGGCCATGGCTACAACGTCTACAGGGCAGGTCTCAACACGAGCCCAATCGTTCACTTCATAGCCGGGTCCCATTACACGTAACCGGCCCATTATCCAACTTTCTTTGTCGTTTTGTACGACACAACGGTACACTATTTCGTCCCATGGACGTGAGATCGCCCGAAGACTGTGAAGGTGCATCCGCAATTGCGCGCGAACGCACATTGTCATGCTAGCCAGGAAGCAGGTCCTGGTTTCATTTCCGGTTCGCCGCGACACTATTTCGTAGTCGCACAGTCAGTTCCCTCTGCTTGGTGCCTCAAGCCTAAGGCTGTGTCGGGCCGAAATCGCCTGCTTAATCGTGTCCCCATCCTCTCTCACACAACCCCCAAGCTCTGATGACACTTGTTTGTACAATCCTGACACGCAATGCTGGTGTCGTTGCGCGGGTACTCCGGGCTCAAAACAACGCGTCCTCTTCCTCCTCAAACAGCGACAGCAGTGTAGACGCCAAGCTGTGCGCTATCTTCCAGTGATTGATCCGCTGAAGGAGATCAATCACCCTGAAGAGCGGGCTGGCAACTGGCCTACCATCCTTTGGCTCCATCTCCTCCGCAATCACCTTTTCACTGATGCCAAGTGTCTGTAGCTCGGGCATGTCGAGTCCCGCCTCTGGCTGCTCCTGCGATGGATCCCCAAAGTGCGTGTAGCAGAACCAGGCCATACCGCAGCGGTACAAGCACATCGGGGCGTATACTGGGGATTCTGTGCCTATGGGCAGCTCTTCAAAGTGCTTTCGCACCAGTGTGGCGTGGGCAATGCATCTTTTTGCGGACGCTGATCGTGCCCACGCCCGGGCATCTTGCGCGTGTCTGTGAACCGCCGGCCGACCCTCTCGTCCACAGGCGCACTCCAGCGCGTCCATGTCCATGTGCAGGAGCATGAACATGGAGTGCCACAGCATCATCAGGCCGGATGCCTGTCGCTCAAATAATTCTGTGCGCCGATACTTGTCGTACCATCCCACCAGCAAGTCCTCGTACTTGGTACACGTCCGAGCCCAGGACGCGGCCGTTCTGCGACTCTCACACGCCAGCGACCCAATGACTTCGAGCATGACGCCGAGTTCAAAGCCACTAGACGCGTCTGGGAATGTGAAGAACGTGCCAGCGTCGGGCGACCAGCAGTTGGCAAAAGTAGCCTGCGGCCCATGGTCCGAAAGGTCATGCGGAGCCATCTCTTTCATCATGACGAGTCTCCACGCAGAGGCGCTCCTGGCATCGAAGGCTTCTTCAGATGAGATATGGTCGAGCTTGTCCAGGGAATGCCGCATCAGACGATCGTGATGGAAGAGCCCGCTGATCTCGGCGTCGTGGAGCAGGATTGCGAGGACGATTCTTCTGTTGTCAGCTCGCCGCCAGCTCCTCAATTGGCAGTCGCACGTACCGTCGCTTAATCTCGCATCGAACCCACTCCTTCCATGCCGCTTCCAGCTCCCGTCCTTTCAACTGAGCAACGTCGATGTTGAACTCCTCGGGGTCGAAGAGCCGTAGTTTCCGTGCCCACTGCTGATATCAGCCAGCTGTAAGTGATTGATGCTTGCGGCGTGTACTTACGGCAACCAGACAGCCGTGAAACATCTCCACCTGCGTCAAGTCCTTTGGCCTCTATCATGTTGTCAATGCTGGAGTACGCACACAGATTCAACGAACAACGTACGCCCACAAGCAGACCGAATGTCTGGCCGACAGCCGACGCTTGCAGCGCCAGGAGGTTGGAGTGTGCCGAGCTTGCCATGCATGTATCCCACTGCGACAATGTCAGGCGCGGCGGCAATGAAGGGACACTTTGCCTTGACGTACCGACGTAAGAATGGACTTGTGCAGCCTCTCAAACATGCTGATGCCCCGAGATATTGCGCTGGAGGAGCCGAGGAACAGGCTGCCGATGGAACATATTGAGAGAACGAGAAGGCCATTGTGCTTCTGTGGTCGAAACGTGGGTGTGTGGACGATAGGGAAGACGGGATGGAAATTCGCAAAGTACGCCTGGATGCACAGGTTCTTCACCGTCCAAAGTCAGCAAATGCTCAAGCTCGATACTGGCAGTTCGGCGCTGGAATCGCGTACAAGAAAGGTAGTAGATGGTAATGAACCGCTCTGCAAGCGCGGTTGCAGCCTTTCCGTCAGATCCCTGTGGCAAATCTCATCGACGCTGTGTCTGTCCTCTGTGACATCCGGCGTAATGTACCCCGACGACGCCCCCTCGGAGAAAGTATGCCATTTTCGCTGGATCCAAGACTTGGTGGCGCTCGCGAACGGCATGTACGGAGTCGGCGCCGGAGACTTGGGGTTGCTCGCGGCCGGCACGGTCGGCTCTTGCGGCAAAGTGAGAGGCTGCGGCTCGGACGGCGCGGTAAACAAGGACGGGTCCAGCAAAGCAATGTCGAACTCGTTTCCAGCAAAGTAGCTTGACCACTGTGTTGTCAGATCCTCGGTGAACGGGGTCAGGCCGGTGAATCGATGGTCGCCACCGTCTTCCAATGGGCTCATATCCGTAGTCGCTGTCCCTTGCGCAGAGAATATTTGGTCATCCGACGCCGCGTCGTTGCTGGGCTGCCCATCCACTGTGAACGTACAGGTGTTGCTTGGTGTCATCACTCCGTCGATGTGCCGGGCTGCGAGCGATGATTGGTGAGGAGAGGCAAAGGCCGCCATTATGGAGGCTGCCTCTGCTGCAGCAACATCGCCATGGGGGCTCCGGCTCGATGCAGATGTCGTCTCATGGCCTTCGGTGCCGGGCTGAGCCCATGGATTTTCGGCCATGCACACGCCATGAGATTTCGAGTGTCTCAAGAGAGTGTCCCTGCCAAACATCAGGCACAAGTTCGTGTCACGCCAACTCAAATGGTACCATCGCATCTGGCCGTGCGCGGGCTAGTGAGCAGGGTTGCAACGTACTGTCTTGTGTACACCTTCTTGCATACTTGGCATTGATACGGCTTTTCCTTGGTATGCGACCGGATGTGCCGAGCGAGATGCTCTGCCTTGTTGAAGGACCGACTGCAAATACCACAGACGCGCTCCTCTTTCGTGGTCTTGCGCCGTCTCTGCATGTTCTTGCAACAGAAGGAACGCGACGATTGATGTGGAGATGGGCCCGCGGCTGGTGATGCAGTGGCATGTTCAACAGACAGTTCGACCTGCCGAACATGCAGCTCTGATCCATTTGCATGGTGTTGAGGGTGAAGCTTCCCCGCATCGGGCGTCAATTGTGGGATCTATCTCTACCAACAAACAGACTAGCCCACCTCGTCCGCCACCTCCCCCGCCACCCCGACGTAGCTCCACGCGGGGTGCATCCGCTAACCAATTTATTCGGCATGAGAAATCACGTTCCGGATCTTGCCTATTCCCTCAATCTCGACTTCAACGACGTCGCCATCTTGGAGGAACTCCTTGCGGAAGAAGCCCACGCCAGACGGTGTTCCCGTCATGATAACCGTCCCCTGGCGCAGCGTCGTTCCGCGCGACAGGTGGCTGATGAGCTGGCCGACGCTCCAAATCATGTCGTTCGTGTTGGAGTCTTGCTTGATCGTGCCGTTGACCTTTGTCGTGAGGCGCGCTTCGAGGGTATTCCCAACCTCGGTCGGCGAGGTAATGGTATGGCCCAGGGGCGCAAACCCGTCGAAGGACTTGGCGTAACAAAACTGGCCACCCGACGCCTCGGGCAGCTGAAAGTTTCGCGCCGAAACGTCGTTAGATGCGGCGAAGCCGAGGATGTAGTCCCAGGCGTTCTCTTCGGAAACGTTCTTGGCATCCTTGGCAATTACAATGGCCAGCTCGCCTTCAAAGTCAAGCATGGGGCGCGCGTCGGGATGCGTGCGAACCACGTCATTTGGCCCGGCAAGAGCATCGGCGGGCTTGGTGAAGACGGTAGGGTACGTAGGAACAGATAGCTGCGGCGTGTCCATCAGTGTATGTGCCCAACCTGTATCCTGGGCATGGACGTCCAGGGTTTCTTGGGCGCGCTTACGTTGGCCTCCTGGGCATGTTTCTTGTAATTGAGTCCAATGCAGACGATGAGGGGTGTACTCTCCAGGGGACAGAGGAGCTTGCCAAAGTCAGCCATGTACATGAATGTGGTGCTATCGGGGTTCTTCCCAACCTTGCTTGTCTTTACAGTGTCTCCGGTCCTCTTCAGTCCATCGAACGGACTTCCAACGAGACGCTCGACGGTGTGCTCATCGCCTTCTGATTTGACAAGGTCGCCGTAGCAAACCTGATCGCCCAAAGAGAATCTGACAAGTCGCTTGAAAGGTGACATGATGGAAGAAACCGTTGCGAAATTTACCGCGACTGACGAATGGCCGAGGTTGTGGTTGAACCTGTACGACTTGCGAGGCTCATATATCAGTTCTTTGAGCTGAGTCCACTGCATGTGGGGATGCACCGACTTGATGCAGTTCCATTCACTTTGGTGCCACGCACCACATCCCCGCCATCACTTGCGGCTTGCGGGGCAGCCGTCACGCACGACGTGGGGACGTGAGATGTGAGGGCCATTACTCTGTATATGTTTCCACGTTCTTAAGGATGCTGCCTCCAATCGAGCGGCGCATTCGTGATCCACTAACTTGTTGGTTGACAACGACTTGCTTTTACCAAATTTCTCACCGATTCGCCTATTGTTGACCATGGGAGACGCCCGCCTAGCCCCAAATTCTGGTGCCGCTGTGCCAGACACCACCGCTGCCGGAGATGATCAGGAGACGCAAGCATCCTGGCTCCAGGGCCAGAACATTGATACAAAGGGCAGGATCCAGCTAAACAAGGTCTCTCACGTCCGCTACCAGCACCCAGACCTCGATGAGATTCACAAGTTCTTGACAGGTAAGCTTGCAAGACCTCTGTCACCCTGCTGTCAAATGGACACATGCACTTACACGCATTAAGACTTCGGCATGGAGGTCGCGAAGAAAGGAGACAACGAGGTCTGGTACAGCGGATATGGAGTTGACCAATACGTGTATTATGCACGCAAAGGGCCTAGAGAGTTCCTTGGCGGCACGTTCGAGGCGGCGTCCGAGGACGACTTCCAGAGGTGCGTGCTGCACGTGCTATCTCAGGTGGCAAGACGCTGACTTAGAAAGGGCTGCACGTCTTCCGGGAGCAGGTGACATCCAGGCCCTCGATGACGCCCCGGGTGGTGGCCGGCTGGTCACAATTACTGACCCTGACGGCTTTCCCGTCAACATCATATTTGGCCAAGAGGCTAAAGAAGCCGGGAGCAACCCGAACAAGCTTCCACTGAACTACGGCATGGAAAAGGAGCGCGCCCGCAAGTTTCAGAGGTTCCAGACCGGACCTGCGGCCATCCACAAGGTACGGTGCCCTCCCCATCACTGGTGCTACCATGCCGGTGCAGAGGGAAGGCGCGCATATTGACATTACACACATAGCTTGGACACTTTGGCTTCGTGACGACGCGCTTCCAGGAGCTTGTCAAGTTTTACACGTCAACGTTCAACATCACTCCATCAGACTTTGTCTACGTGCCAAAGGACGGCAAGAAGGAGGTTGTCACGGCGTTCCTCCATATTGATCTCGGAGACAAGCTTGTCGACCACCACACTCTGTTCCTCAGCTCCGGCCCGACCTCTCACGTCCACCACTCGTCGTTTGAGGTTCACGACTTTGACACCCAGAACCTCGGACATCAGTGGCTCGCGCAAAAGGGATACAAGTCCGTCTGGGGTGTCGGACGTCACGTTCTTGGCTCCCAGATATTCGACTATTGGTGGGACACTACTGGCAACATGGTGGAACATTATGCCGACGGAGACTTGATTAATCGCGAGTCCCCAATTTCGTATTCGCCAGCTGGGAGCGAGTCGCTTGCTGTGTGGGGGCCCGAGCTGCCAGAGGCTTTCTTGGCTTAGACGTGATAGTGTAGTAGCATCAGAGAGTATGCACCGAGGTGGTGGCCCTCCTTTCCCACCCAAATGTACCGTCTCCATATCTAGTGAAAGCAAAGTCGACAGATAAGGACAGTCCCATGACATCACTCTACCTACAGCTGTCATTCCTTCGTCTGTCCGCAAAAGACCATTCAATCTATTGTGGCCGCGTAGAGATGTCCCGGATCTATTTTAGTGTGTCGATATCACTATCTGACAGAGCCGCGGCACCGCGCTGGTGGAGCTTCGCTAGAGGCGTGACGGCGACACAACGTTCATCGTTCCGATACCGCGACGTCTGGCAAACCCAGCAGTAGGCCTCGCCAGATCGGCCACACGATGCGGAGGCCTAACGCCCATATTCTACTGGGCCTCGAGGCAAGTTTTGGGCGAAGGCTTCTCAACACGCCCGTTCAATTCGAGGCGAGGTAACGATCGGCCAACTAGGCTACCGCTGGCTCCGGCCGAGTACGGCAAACTTCGGGCCCCTGCTGCTCTCAAAACAAAACCAATTTACCAACCACGTTTTCTTGGCGCTCTGTGTCTCGAGTCTCTCTACCTGCCTTTCCTGGTGAGTCTCTGCCTCAGGGCCGCCATGTGACTGGTCGCCACATCCAGATAGGCCTTGAATCCTACGCTGGGCGGCAGAGGTTACGTTACGACTTGGGGCCTGGGCATCCCTGGTCCGGAGCTCAGGTTTGGTACGTGGGGTTGCTGGGATTAAGTTTGGTAGAGGGCGGCGCTAACCCCCCTGTTTCCTATTCGAGGCCTGGCTCGCCTGCGCGGCAGCTTGCTTCGGGAAGCGGTAGAGACCAAGTTCGTCCGATCCTGTGATCTGCTGACGGACAAGGCCGCCAAGCATCAACCGGGAATTGAGCGCCTGTTGTTCAATCTGGGGAGGGTGGCATCCGACGGCCTGTCGGACGCTCACGTGGAGTCCGTGGGGAAGGTTGCACCTCTTCCAGAGTCTCAGGTGTCATCCGGTGATGCCAGAATGAAGCCAAGCTTGGGGCCTGCACCGCCGCGGGACTTCGGGTATGTCCTCGCGCATTCTGTTTAAACAATACACTATCGAGACGGTGGGATGCGGGCCGCGTCTTTATCTTGTAAAGGCACTGATTGGCAGCACTAGTCACAAGGTGGCCGGCGCTGTGTTGGCAGATCCCTGACCACCCCTGTCGAGCCATCCACCGACAATAAGGGGCCGAAGGGTAGAGAAGTCGATCAAGCCACAACGCTCCAAACCTCACATTGTCACTAATAGCTATGGGGCAACATTTGATGGATGAAGACCTGTATTGGCTTCATAGTGCAATGATTTGACCTTGGGGGCGCGATCCAGTGGGTGGTGGGGTTGTTGGATCTAAATCAAGGGGGATTCCTAGTCGCAAACCGAGACGTCGACGGCGTCAGGACGGGCTCCTCGTGGGCCACCAACAGCCCACCCAAGAGGAAGGTCCAGCACTTCTCCGACTTGTAACTTGGTAGGCTATGAGATGTCGGTGCCATGCGTGGGGTTGGAGTGGGTTATAGTCTACGTTACGGCCGCAAGCGCCGGCAGTCTGCAACTCAGAGCCTACATGTAGCTGGGTACCAAAGATTTCCTCTCCTGGGCCACGCCAAAGTGGACGCAGGATGGTCGGTCATGCGTACCGTTCAGATGGCCTCCATTCGAAGGTTTGGTTGCACTCCTGGGACGTATTCGTCCTGAGACGGATAGTGACAGTAATACACATGAAGATATAAGACGACGACACGCGCTCTTCGAGAGTCTTCCTTTACTTCTGCAGTACACTAAGCATCCGCACATAATCTTCCTTTCACTCAACCACACCCAGCAAAATGAAGGTCGTTGCCATACTTGCCGGTGCCTTTGGCCTGGCCAGCGCCCACATGGAGTTGAAGAACCCCCCGGCTTTCCGCTCTAGCTACAACCCCAACACGGGCGGCGACGTTGACTACGACATCCGGTCCCCTCTCGAGGCCAGCGGCAGCAACTTCCCCTGCAAGGGCTATCACAAGCTTCTCGGCACGCCCAAGGGAAAGTCTGTCGCGACATGGAGTCCCGGCGGCACCTACAGCATGACCATCACGGGCAACACGCCGCACAAGGGCGGCAGCTGCCAGGCGTCTCTCTCCTTCGACAAGGGCGCATCGTTCAAGGTCATTCACTCATACATTGGCAACTGCCCTGTCATGGGCGACTCGAGCTACTCGTTCACTCTCCCCAACGACACGCCCGCCGGCGAGGCGCTCTTCGCCTGGACGTGGTTCAACTGGGAGGGCAACCGCGAGATGTACATGAACTGCGCGGCCATCACTGTCAAGGCCGGCGGCAAGAAGCGCGGTGCATCGGACCCCATCTCTAGTCGGCCCAACATGTTCGTTGCCAACGTGGGCAACGGAGTCTGCACCTACGAGGGAGTTGACGTCGAGTTCCCCCAGCCCGGGCCGGATGTCACGCGCAACTCGAAGAAGTCTAAGCCGCCTGGCAAGGGCTCCTGCGGCTGGGGCGGTGCCGCCTAAGTCTGCCATTTGCGAAAGCAGATGACGCTTACATCAAATGCTGAGAACTTGCGACTTGCCAGGTGCGAGGCAGGGATAGTTCTCCTTTCGATCAGTACATAGCCAGCTTCTTCTACATACTTTCAATACGTACAAATCTCACGACTATCATGAATGAGATCTTCTGGACATGTCGCTGTTGACTGGAGACATTACACTTGCGCGTAGCTAACTTAGAAGGTAGTTAGAAGGTAGCTCGCACCACTGGAAGAGTCCGTCTCTCCAATCTAGGGTCGGATGTGATGCGAGTTGAGACATGGAGCCTGCACGAAGCCATCAACGATATGTGTAGCTGTGAAGTCAAAAGCAAACATGGAGTGATGTACTTCGTAGATTGGTGGAGTACGTACAAGTCCTTCAACAGCCTCCCGTGGCCGACTCTTGTTCCCACCAATACAGCGGGTGCATCACTTGGCCCTGCAGGACACATGCAAGCCGCAAGTGCCCCATGCACAGGGGCAAACTCACAGCTGCGGGGCGCGGGGGCAGGCCGATTGTTGCCGCATCATAGTCCCCACATCACGGCCAAGTACCCCGAATGCCCGAGCACAAGGCGGGGATGTACAGTAGACGTGACGAGAAGAATGGCCAGTCACTCAGTTATCGCATCCCACAACTCATTGTGGGCTCAGCCTATGTTGGCAGAACCGTGGGGACGAATCGTGGAGACCCGATGCTTGGGCACCACCACGCCGGGTGTCATTGATAGCTACCTAAGTCGTTTTAAGCGACTAACTTACAATTGAGCATCGCGTCTCACATTCGCTTTCTTGACTTCATGCAGGTAATGTCGCCATGGCGTCGTCCAGCCTCAATCATGACGAGACCACCGACGTTGTGATCTGTGGATGCGGTCCTACGGGTGCCATGCTGTCTGCCTATCTGGGCCGCGCAAACATCGCCAATATCGTTCTCGAGAAAGAGCCAGACATCACGACCGACCCGCGCGGCATTGCACTGGACGAAGATGGAATTCGCTTCTTGCAGGGCTTGGGGCTGTACGAGCACGTCTTCTCCGACATTGGCACCTGTTAGTGTTCAGCATGCAAGGACGACACATGCCATCTTGGGTTCTAAGCATTGTATTCTGCAGGTATCCCGAAGGTGCGCTTCGTTAGCGGTGTGCATAATGATCTGAACAAGCAGCCATTTCTCAACTTTGACATTAGCTCTGTGAGTTGTGACCCTGGCTCCGTATGTGCCGGCCTACAACATTAACAACACCCCGTGCTCGATTAGACGGCTGGCCACACCGGGCACGTTGCCATGCTGTCCCACAAACAGCCAGCCCTGGAGGAGCGCCTTCGCTCCAAGATCCGTGAGGCAAGCAGTTGCGAGCTGCGAAGTGGCTGCACTGTAACATCCATATCAGAAGACGACGAATGGGTGTATACGAGATACCTGGGCGCCAATGGAGTCGAGCGATGCATCCGCTCACGTTTCTTGGTTGGCGCCGACGGAAAGACTGGCTTCACGCGAAAGCAGTACCTGGAGCCGAGAGGCGTTCACATGCAGTGGGCAGAAAAGTGCGTTCCATGCGGCTGTCCCCAGACTGCCGCTAACCTAATCGTAGAATGCGGTATCAAGAGACGTGGGTTGCGTTGAACTGGAAGCTCAGTCTGCCGACGCCAAAGACGCATCCGTCTTTTCCCCTTTGGAAGCTGGGCTACTCCTCCGAGGACGTCTTTGACCTCTTCTTCCCACTCGACTTCCGGTTCCTCTGCAATCCGCAGCGCCCAGCGGTGTGCGGTCGGTTTGGGCCACCATCCGACCGGCTCTGGCGCTTCGAGTTCCTCGTCAACGCTGGCGAAAGCGATGCGGAAATGGCGACGCCAGCCATGATTCGCAAAGTCGTGTATCCTTATCTCAGGCACCCTGGGGCACGTTACGGGTGCGTGCGCTGAGGGAGGCACTGGGGTGGTGGTACAGCTGTGCTGACGCTGTGCAGGTTACCCGACCCTGTCGAGTTCCCGCATGACTGCATCGAGGTGCTCCGCTGTCGGCCGTTTCGCTTCTCAGCGCGGAGTTGTGACAGGTGGGCTCTTGGACGGGTCATACTCTGTGGCGATGCCGCGCACGTCTTCCCGCCATGTAGGTGCCGCATAACTCTGTCGTCGATGGCGGTTCGAGCCGAGGCTAACCACGTAAACTCGCAGTCGGTGGACAGGGCATTGCATCCGGGTTTCGCGACGCCATCTCCTTGAACTGGCGCCTGGCTGTCGCCTGTAGATCACAAGCGGCGAACCACGAGCAACTCTTCACCGGGTGGTTCCTGGAGCGCAAACAGCAGCTGGAGAGCTCCCTGGCCACCACGATCCGCAACGGTGACATGGTCAACAGCCGGAACCCATTCAAGATTTTCGTCCGCGACTGGACGTTGTGGTTCCTGCAGCTGCTTCCCGGCTGGAAGAGCTGGCTTGAGCTGGGTCCGCGGATCGATGGGCCGACGACGTACAAGTACGAACCAGGCATGGCCTTTATTCCTGAGCTGGGAGGCGGCGTCCTTTTCTCACAGACATACTGCGTGGCGCTCGGGGGCCAGGCAGAGGTCCCTCGTGTCCAATTTTCTGACGACGCGATTTTCGCGAAGACGAAGGAGAGCCCCTTCCAAATTGTCGTCCTTCTCGACAATCTGGATGAATTGCAGGCTGCAAGGCAAGAGCTCAAAGTTCTGGACGGCGCGTCCTCCGAGAGCCTCTCAGTCCGCGAGGCAACGTTCTTTGTCCCTCGCTTGCCAGTCTCAGCTCATCAGCAAAAGCAACCCTCCGAACTCGACGGGGTCTACCGCGCGGCTTCGGCCGAAGAGTTTGCGGCATCTAGTCTCTGCAAGGGGCGTCCCGCACCTCGGGGGTACCATGAGGACGACCTGTGGAAGAGCGCCAAGGGTCGGAGATTTGTCATTGTGAGACCTGACAGGTTCATATTCGCAATGTGTGACGCGGGCTGCGAGCTGGAGCGGATTTGTAGCGGCCTGGCCAAACTTTCTCACTGACAAGGCAGAACAAAGACGCGTACTTCGCAGGGCTGAGGGTTTCTCCCGTGTATCTCATATTAAGACACGAGACAGCATCATGTCAATGCCCAGGGCTGCCTCTCTCGAAATCGCTTGACGTATGATGCCTAGCTATCGCACTTGCATTCGGCCCTGTCCTCAATTCGTGAAAAGGTCCAAAGGAGATCAAATCAGGTCTGAACAGGCGGACTCACGTCGTCTCCAACCTTTCCACCCTTGAAAGACCCGACGTGAAATGCCTACCCTATACCATGTCAATTCTAGCGCGCTCTCACCTTGGCCACACACACACACACACACACACAGGCACTGCCATCACCCCTTCCTTTGTCATCATACTTTCTTGGCATGCAATTGTTAAGAAAGTAGCGTATTTTACACCAATTTGCCTAACATCTGCACCACCAACACCGCGAGCCGCGCGCTGCGCTGGCTCTGGCAGCGGCCATGGCAACTGCCATGGGCTCGCATGCCGGCTCAGATCCCTTCNACTTTCAGCAAGTATTGAAATGGCTCCTATTATGGTCAGCGGGCGATGTTTGGTTGGGAAATTGCCAAGCGCGTCGAGACAGACAACGAGGCCATCCTACGAGCAGATGGCTTGGCAGGCAATCGCGGCATGGCCAACGGCCACGACTGGAGGGTATACGCACAGGGATGTCAGACAGGTTTTCCAGAGCTCGCTGCTGCCAGGCGATGTTGACCAGCCGCTCTCTCCGCTGGATATTGGAATCGTTGTTGGCCATGTAGTCGGAGCCGACAGGCAAGCGGTCGCTGGGTAGGTTGAAGAAGCTGGCGGTGCCGTGGTACGTGATGCCGCCTCTATCGTCGATCTTGAGGCCGCGGAAGCCACGCGTGATGCCGTGCTCGTTGGCTGTACGAGGCGACCAGGACGCATTGTGAGCGCTGATCACAGGTGGGCTGGAGTGCGATGAAGCCGCTGCGGACGCGGGTGATTTGGAGACGTTGGCGAGCTGGTCTTCGAGCTCCTTAATTCGTTCTTCCAGGCGCTGCGTGTACGACCGTGTCGGGTTCCTATGGTTGCCTCGGTAAGTGGCCGAGTCGCACACCTATAACGGGGACGAGCTCCGATAAGAGCCCGGCGAGGGCATTCTTGCTTACAGCTTGTATACGCAGTCGCCGTTGCGAGCGGCACAACGGTGGCAGACTGGCTGCTCCCCGCCGCACTTGACCTGTACGACAGTGGCTCGTGAGCGGTGCTGTGCTGTCGCCGTTGCTGCTGCCGCGCGTCCATCTGGTGGCAGCTCGGCGGGGCCAACGACACACCTTGCGCCTGCGGCATGGCTCGCACGAGAAGGCGCCCTTCTTGGTTGCCTTGACCGACGACATGGCGGACGGGTAATGGGTGCTGTTACCAGGGAAATGGCATACAGGGCGCGATAGCGAGGCAAGGGCATGTGTCGTCCGGAGGGATTCCCTGGATTGGACGGAGGTTCCAGTGTTGCATCGTCGAGGCGACGCTGGGCTGCGGTGGAGACTATGGGCTGGGCTTGGTTCAGAGTTCAGCCCAGACAGCGTCCGAGGGCCACCGACCGGATTGGAGGTACCGCTACCTGACGGGCCTCGTTCAGCCACGACACCCGGGGCGTACCCGGTACCTTCCAAAACCTGCCGATGTACTGATTCAGCACTTTTCACCTTCCTTTGCCATCATACTTTCTTGGCATGCAATTGTTAAGAAAGTACCGTATTTTACACCAATTCGACTAAATGCACCACCAACTTTGCGAGCCGCGCGCGGCGCTGGCTCTCGCAGCGGCCATGGCAACTGCCATGGCAACTGCCATGGGCTCGCATGCCGGCTCAGATCCCTTCGATCTGGACAATCGTATCCCCCTAACTTTCGCCGACCGGGCCCGTGCTGCCCAGCTCCGGAACAGTTCTCCGGTTGTGGACCGGCCGATCGGTGTCTCGCCGGCGCCCCGGCGACCGGCCCGGACGCCATCTTCACCCTTACTCCGACTCTCCAACTCTGCTGCTACGGAAGGGGCACAGCCCGCATACGCGTCGTACAGGCCTTCGTTGGAACCCATTCTGGAGCCCGTCTCCATCGTCGAAGGCGCCAACAGGGTCGCACAAGAGCAAACGGATGCCTATAACGCCAAATTAGCAGTCTTCCATGCATTCTGCGAATCATTTGACCAGGCCGCGAAGCAATTCACGTCTGGAATTGAGCATACCTTCGCGAACCAATTCGCCACCAGCTTCCTCGACTTCTGGCGCCAGTCTCTCTCGATACTGCCACCCGTGACCGCGCCGACGTACAGCAGCGTCGCCGCCGGTCGCAGCCCTCTCCAGCGCCCTGCTGACCGCGCCGCCACCCCCTCCGTAGAGGCCCCGCCCTCTGCACCACAACAAACAGCCGACACACGTCTCCAGGGACGACCAATCCCCGCCCCACCGAAAGAGGACCTCCGGGTCTTCGTACGACTCGACGCCGAAGCACCGGCGAGGAACTTCGAGTCGTATGCGATCCGGACCCACATCGCCGCGAAAGTCGGCATCGACCTCCACCAAATCCCGGCAGCTTTCCCCGTGAATTCGGGTTGGGCTCTCCGCGCTACGGATACCGCTACAAGAGACCTCATCGTCCAGCGCCAGTCGGAATGGGCACAGGATCTCGGCGCCAACACCGTCGAAACCAGCCGCAAATGGTACACCTACGTCGTCGCCAACTGCCCGCGGAGGCTAACTGATCTCCAAGGCAATGAAGCCGACTATGAAGAAGCCGTCAAAGGCGAAATTGCCTGCCAATCCGGCCAGACAGCGGTTAGCGTTCGCCCTAGTCGTCACGACTCGAAAGACTTACCAGTCAAGACACTCCTCGTGTCTTTCCTCAAACCCACGCAGAAACCCTGGCGGCTTTTCGGCTCCAGCAGACTCGCCCGATACATCGACAAACCTATTGCGCCTAGCCAATGCGACAAATGCTGGGACTTCCACGCCCGGCATAGCTGCGACCGCCGCCCATCCTGCAAACGATGCGGAAAGCCGCAGCACCAAGACTCAAACTGCTCTGCCCCAGCGCAGTGCTCAAATTGCCTAGGGCCACATACCGCGGATTCTAGCGAATGCCCTGCACGACCCATCCGATCCCATGGCGTTTATCGTCGACTGACACAAGAAGAAAGGAACCGCGTGCGAAAGATGGGAGCACAGCTATTCGCCCATCGAGCACGTCAAACTGAACAAAATGAACAAGCTGCCCAACCAGGCCCGCGATCGCCACTAGCACCGCCTCGCGTGCCCGAACAAGTCCAGCTGCAAGGTACAGGCTTGGACCCGCCTCACGAACAGCAAAGCAGTGCCGCACCACGGCCGCGCCCGTCTCAACAAGATGAGTGGAGTGAGCCAGAACGCCGCGAACCCGCGCCACAGCCTGAGAGCGTCCACTCTGCCCTCAGCCCGGCCGCGACCATGTCCCCGCCAGGCAGCAGCGTAGTGACGGACTACCAGCCCGAAAGCGACGATGAGACGCCTAGATCTCCGCTCAAGAGAAAGCGCGTCACACGTGCCAACCCAACCGCGTCACTCATATGACAGGGCGCCATAGAGACAAGACCAGAAAGAAGACCATTCGCGTTTTCCAGGCCAATGTTGGCAAGATTCCGCCGGCGCATGACTGTGCCCTCGCCCTGGCCGACGCCGAGCAGTACGACGTCGTCCTACTGCAGGAGCCGTGGACAGAAACCAAAGAAGGCCGCTGTCTCACCAAAACGCATCCCGCATACGACACATTCTCTCCGGTCGACAGCTGGGTCAACAACAGCACCCGCCCGAGAGTCATGACGTATGTCCGGCGTCGCCCCGGCCTAACGGCCGGGCGGCCCGTGTCAACCCGTGACATTCTCTGGCTCACCATCAACAATATGACGGTAGTCAACTGCTACCGGCAGCCTGACTTCGACGAGGCTCTGGATATACTTCTAGCCTGGAACCCGCCGAGCCGGTGCCTGGTAGCTGGGGACTTCAACTCTAAACACTACAGCTGGCAGACCGGTCGTCTCGACGGCCGAGTGTTCTAATGAAGGTCCGCGACCAGAATCGGCGCAAGCAACAACAACTTGGCCAACCACTATTCGAACCTCGTTTTTCTTGATACCGTCGCTACAGTGCGCGGAGAGTGCCAAAAGGGGTAGTACGAAACATCACGTCATAGAGACACATCCTTCGGACTGTATTACACCCTCCCCACCTCCGGTGAGGGTGTCAGCATATTTTACAATGGTGGTACGCTCTGCAGCCGATTAGCTTACAGGTCCTGAAGAGCTTGTGGACATAAAGACATACACTCCTGACTGGTGTTGAAATGACCTCGTCAAACCATGTCTTGGACACTACCTTATGGCGGTCACATGTTGCCAACATCCCCAGCAGGAACACCGGGAACAGGGGCGTCTGTGCTGTAAATAGAAAGCCAGACGTTGGCATCACTCTAACACACGCCGTCAATTTATCCAGAGTCGACACAACGCCAGTGTCGTTTCGAGTCAGTCTAGCAGAATGACGTTGACATGGAGCCGGGGCGAGTTGTGGCATTGTGGAAACACGCGCCCAGTTCTGTATGGACATGGAGTAAGTGGGCGGTTGACCAGACCCAGACGCCGCTTTCTGGGCGTCGTTGAGCGGTGTCTCCCGCTACCGTGTCTTCCGGTTCCTGACAAGCAGACCACACCATTCAAGTGTGGTCAGGTGTGGTCAACCTGGCTCGCGCAATCAGAAAGAAGAATTTGGATATGGGGCTGCATCCAGATGAGGTGGCAGCATGACACTCCGTGCCATGCGTAGACAGCGTCATCCAACTCGTCTCATCCTGCTCGCTGATTTGGATTCGCGTATGGTGTGCCAGGGCCATGTGCTGTGCGACGCTGCGGGTACGCCGTCCAGTTTTCGACATGCAGATTACTCTTTCAAGAGCGTTCGATTGTCCTGTTCTTCACGTGGCAGTTACCCACCGATAGTTGGCTTCGTGTCGCGCCGTTTGCCTGCATCTCACTTCGCCCGCTCCGTGACGTGGTCGTTTTGTGTCGCGAATCATGTAAGTGGATGCGGCGGCCGGGACCCGCTTCGTCCGATGCCTGACATGCAGACCACCAAGGGCAGGGACGTGCGCCGACCAATTCTTCTGCTTCGTGTTGGCAGCTACGGTACATGTCGGTTTTTTCCCGACATTGGTACGTACCGGCAGCCAGAGCTTGCCGTGCAGATCATTGCGAAGTAGGGGNCAACTCTCCCCTGTAAAAATTCTTCGCTTCTCCGAGCTGTTAGCAGCCTGGTTGTGCGGGGTAATTCTGCAGGCCACCCGACCACGCTTTCGCCTCTGGGGTCCTACCGGGACCCTAACTCCTCGGAGGGAGGCACGATTGAAGACCTTAGGAGAGTTCATCTTCAATCGCACGAAGGCGTGGTCCTGCTTGACCGCACGTAGCTTCAGAACCAAGTCGCGTGCGGTTCCCAGCAGCTAGCTGCGGTCGGTTTTTCTCCTTGAAGGCAAGCCGCTCGTCGGCCTCTGATCCCTTCGGAAGGTTTTTCCCTCCCGCTACGCCTGGGCCGTTTCTGTCATCTGGTTCCTGGGGTGCAGACCGCGGCAGCGGTGTCGGCCGAGGCGCAAGAGAATTCTGGCTAGCAAAACCGAGGGTTGACCTCGCCTTGCACTCGTGGCCCCGAGCGATGTAAAGACGGTCATTGCTCACAGAGGCCGCGAGGGCGGGCAGCGCCTGGATCCCGCTGACGGGGAAGGGCCTCGCATTTTAGCGCCAAAGAGCCGAAGCCTATGCTGGATGGGCCGCTACTTATGGGAGTCTTCAGGCCTATGTGAGGAGCCGCGTCCTGGTAGCAAGGCCCGTCGCAACGCGGATTGATGGAGAATCCCAATGGACCGAATAAGTCTACAGCCGGTGGCCTATGTTAGGAGAGGATGCAGTAAATAGCACCTAGCTCAGCACGTCTTTTGTCCCGATAGGGAATACCCGCAAGACGTTAAATAAACACACACACACACACACACCGTAGGGTTAGCTCAAGCCAGCTATCGATCCCCTGATCCCCCGCGACCAACTCTCCCCTGTAAAAATCTTCGCCTTTTCGAGCTGTTAGCAGCTTGATTGTGCGGGGTAATTTTTGCGGGCCACCCGCCACGCTTTCGCCTCTGGGGTCCTACCGGCACCCTAACTCTTCGGAGGGAGGCACGATTGATGACCTTAGGAGAGTTCATCTTCATTCGCACGAAGGCGTGGCCCTGCTTGACCGCGCGTACCTTCAGAACCAAGGTGCGCGTGGTTCCCAGCATCTAGCTGCGGTCGGTTTTTCTCCTTGAAGGCAAGCCGCTCGTCGGCCTCTGTTCCCTTCCAAAGGTTTTTCCCTCCCGCTACGCCTGGGCCGTTTCTGTCACCTGGTTCCTGGGGTGCAGACCGCGGCAGCGGTGTCGGCCGAGGCGCAAGAGAATTCTGGCTAGCAAAACCGAGGGTTGACCTCGCCTTGCCCTCGTGGTCCCGAGCGACGTAAAGACGGTCGCCGCTCACAGAGGCTACGGGGGCGGGCAGCGCCTGGATCCCGCTGACGGCGAAGGGCCTCGCATGTTAGCGCCAAAGAGCCGAAGCAATGCTGGATGGAGACTATTTACGGTGGTCTTCAGGCCTATGTGAGGAGCCGCGTCCTGGTAGGAAGGCCCGTCGCAACGCGGATTGATGGAGAATCCCAAGGGACCGAATGAGTCTACAGCCGGTGGCCTATGTTAGGAGAGGATGCAGTACTGTATATAGCGCCTAGCTCAGCACGTCTTTTGTCCCGATAGGGAATACCCGCAAGACGTTAAATACACACACACACACACATACCCCGCGACCGACACCAAATGGGTTCCGGGCCTGGACCAGCTCGCCCAGTTGGCGCAATGTAAACTAAACTGGCACCGGAGTGGTGTGTAAGTTACAACACGAGCCAAATATTTGCATTGGAACTTTGTAACACTCATTTCGAGGTTTGGGAGTTTGCTGATGTCAACGATGATTGATGCGGGCACTATCAAATTCTTGATTGAAACTGACATGCGACGGAGTATGTCTGTCTTCGTTTGTCGCCGCATGTTCGTGCGCGCATGGACCGATGTTGGCTTGATCCATTAGTCGTCACACCGCGTGTGTTTCGTCTTCACCGACCCACCAGCGTCCCATATTGGTGAATGCACCGGCAGCACGGCACAAGATGGCAATGCAATTAGCTCATGTCTCACCACAAACATCGAGTCTAGTGCAACTTGCCCAACCGGGTGTGCCATAGTAGTGCCTAAAGAAGGCGAAAATGCTCGGCATCCTAAGCGCGACACTGTCTGAAGCGCCATTGACCCATTTTCTGGTAACAAGAAGTGGTTATTTCAGAAAGAGTGATCAGATGCCAGCGGTGTATATTGGGTGGTGGTCGCAGACGAGAAGCTGCAGGCTCTGGCATAAGAGATGGTGAACATAGAGTTGGCTGCGAAGCACCTTTAGGGAGATGAGTGACCAAAATGATGTGTACCAACGGGATAGGGGAGTGTCTGAATTCATTCGAAGGACGCCCGGGGGGCAACTACTCCACTGGCAATACGAGTTTCAACCCATCGAACTGTAGAAACCTGGCACGGGCCAGGCCCGGTGATGTGGATCCGTCGCTCCCCTGTTTGCAATTTGAGAGACCCCTGAGTACAAGCTCGCAGCCCCAGGGCTGCGAGCTTCCCATTTCCTTTCCCTTTCTCCTTAGCTTTAGATAGACAACACGAAGGCATCTGCTTGTTGAACAAACTCCAGTCCAGCCTCTTACAAAACCCCTGCCAGCTGTCAAGCCATCCGTCGACGTCGAGCTGTCGAAACGGGCCGTACACGTCTCGAACTCGTTGGTGCTCGGATTGTCAGGAAGACCCGAGTCATGGGTTGGTTCTTATCTGCCAGGCGCGGTTAACCGGCTGGTGAGCAGTTACAGGGAGCTACGGGGACTTTGCGCTGCATCCTGCAGAGTGACGTGTCAGCTGTGGAGGAGATAGAGATCTTTGAGTGGCAGGGACGTGTGTAAGGCACGGCACAAAGTTAAGCAACTATCAGACGTACGGTGTGGGTACCAGCATAGACGGTGTCACTATAGACAGGAATGGCTGTGTAGGCAATTGCCCAAGTGTATTGATCGTGTCGTGTTCTGCTCATTCTCTGTCCATATTCTGGTGTCCTTTTCCTCTTGTGGATCACGGAGACACTCATCTCGCTACACGCCCCTGTATGCACTTACCCGGTGCGTGTTACGCGGTGAGAAGGCGTGGATGGATGACAAAAAGGAGTGCCTGAATCAAGGATGTTGGTACTGGTTATAAAGATGATGCAATGGATGGAGGACAAGGATGGTAAATGAGCCACGCCCCTATTCACGCGCGAGAGGAAACAAAAAGGAGAACAGGACAACATGATGGAGAAGACGAACAGGACGAGAATCATCGAGTCCCTGACCAATTGGACGTCATTCTGGCTGCATTATTGTGTGCATTATTCTCACTTCGTGTCTAACAGTACGGGTGGAGTTGTGCACGTCCAGTAGTAACAGAACGGCAGTAGGCAAAATTAAGGAAGGCGTGCAGCAGCACATGAGCTGCCCTACTTCACGATATGTACCCTCTCCAGTAAGGCTGATACCAACACCCTTGTCTAGGCTCTGTTCGACGCCAAAGTGTGGGAGTTCAGCTAGCTATGAAGACTACCCAGACCCAGCGTGCGCGGTCCGTATGCCTTCAGTTCTCAAGACGTACCATATCTCGGACTGGTTGGTGCTCGGACTCTCCGGCACAGCCCAGTCATGCATAGGGTCGTACCCGCTAGGGGGAGGTAATGAGTCAGTCAGGGATTGCAGGGAACAAGGGCTGCGGCGACCCCGTACCAGATCGACGCGTGAGCCGTGAGAGGGATAGGAGGTCTTCGAGGCAGGGATGTACCTTATGCAACGTGCGGCACCTGCCAGGATCAGCCACTGAGCCAAGTACTCGGCCACTTGTACAGTACTGAAGGGG